GTCTGCCTGCAGAGGCTTTGCTGAGCTGCTGTGGGCTCCACCCTGCTGCCATGTGAACTTCCCTGCAGTCCTGTTTATATGGTTGTGGTTAGAACTGCCTTGGCAATGGTGGTCAGCCTCTGTAATGGCAAGCTCTCTCTGTTATGGCGGGTTGCCTCGGCAACGGTGGGTTGCCTTGGCAACAGCAGGCTGCCTCAGCAATGGTGGATTACCTGCGTAGGAGTGGATTGCCTCGGTAATGGTGGATGCCCCTCCCCCACAGAGCTGGGCCATCCCAGGTTCAGCTGTGCTTGCTGTGAAACTCTCAATTTCGAGACTTTCCAATTGCTATTTTTGCTGTTGTTGTTGTTGTTGTTGTGGGACCTGCCGAGCCTGATCACCTGGCTCCCTGCCTCAGAGCCCCCTTTTTTTTAAGTTGAACGGTTGACTCTCTCCCAAGTGTTCCAGTCGCCTGCTGAAAGGGCGCGGGAACCTTTGTGATTTCCCATGTGGGGACCCACTGTGCCAGCTGAAACAATGGTGCTGCCTGGGAATCTCCTGGCCTGGCTCCCTGTTTCAGACCCCTGTTTAATCAGATGAATGGGCAAATCTGCCTTCTTGGAGCTCCAATTGCCAGCTTAAAAGGCAAATTAAAGTCCAGCGTATTTTGTATGGAGAACCGCTGTGCCAGAGCGCCGGCAAAACAGCCATGCCGGCCAAAACAGCCATGCCGGCCAAAACAGCCACACTGGCGACCCGTGGGACTCCTCTGCCTGGGAATCTCCTGGTCTGTGGGCAATAAAGATCCATGTGGAAATGCGGTTTCCACTCACCCTCTGTGCTTTCACTGGGAGCTCCAATCCTGAGCTGCTCCTAAAGGGCCATCTTGGATCTTCCTCAAACTTCTTAAATTAATTTTTGTATTTCTAGTGGACAGGGGATTTCAGCATATTGGCCAGGCTGGTCTTGAATTCCTGACCTAGAGATCTGCCCACCTTGGCCTCCCAAAGTGCTGGGATTACAGACATGAGCCACCAAACCCAACCAATTCATATGTTTTTAAATTATGGCTTCAATTTTGGAGCTTGGTATTTGTCTGGTCAGGGTTTCACTTTCTTTTTGATTCAATCTTGGGAGGTTCTGTGTTTTCAGGAATTTATTCATTTCCTCTAGATCATCTAGTGTATGTGCATAGAGGTGTTCATAATAGTCTCAGAGGACAGTTTATATTTCTGTGAGACTGGTTGTAATGTCACCTTTGTCATTTCTGATTGTGCTTATTTCGATCTTCTTTATTTTTGTTAATTTGGCTAGCAGTCTATTGATTTTGTTTGTCTTTTCAAAGAATCAACTTTTGTTTTTTTAAAATTTTTTTTATTGCATTTTAGGTTTTGGTGTACATGTGAAGAACATGTAAGATTGTTGCATAGGTACACATATGGCAGTGTGTTTTGCTGCCTTCCTCTCCATCACCTATATCTGGCATTTCTCCCCATGTTATCCCTCTCCAACTCCCCACCCTCCACTGTCCCTCCCCTATTTTCCCCCCCACAGATCCCAGTGTGTGACGTTCTCTCCCTGTGTCATTTCTTTGATTCTTTGTTGTGATTTAGGGGTCTCAATTTTGTTCAGTTTCCTCTTATTTTAGTTATTTTTTTTCTTCTGCTAGGTTTGGGGTTCTTGTTTTTCTGGTTTCTCTAGGTATGATATTTACATCATTAATTTGAGATTTTAATAGCTTTTTGAAGTACACATTTAGCACTATAAACTTTCCTGTTACACTTTTTTTGCTGCATCTCAGAGATTTTATGTTGTGTTTCTGTTTTATTTCAAATAATTTTTTTTATTTCTGCCTTAATTTTGTCATTTACCCAAAAGTCATACAGGAGCAAGTTGCTTAATTTACATGTAATTGTGTGGTTTTTAGAGATCTTCCTGGTATTGGTTTTTTTATTCAACTGTGGTCCAAAAGAATGGTCGATATGATTTTGATTTTTTAAAATTTATTGGCGCTTGCTTCATGGTAGAACATGTGGTTGATTTTGGAATGTGTTTGGTGTGCAAATGAGAATAATGTATATTCTGTGGTTGATGGGTGGAGTGTTCTTTAGGTTTCTGTTAGGTCCAACTGGTCAAGTGTTGAATTTTAATGCAGAATTTCTTTGTTAGTTTTTTGTCTTAATGATCTGTTTCATGTTATTAGTGAGTGTTTAAGTTCCCTAACTATTGTTGTGTGGCTAAGTCTTTTCATAGGTCTAGAAGTATCTGTTTTATTAACCTGGGTGAGCCAATGTTGGGTGCATATATATTTAGGATAGTTAAGGCTTCTTGGTGAATTGAACTCCTTATCATTATGTAATGCCCTTCTTCGTCCTTTTTTACTATTGTTGATTTAAAGCCTGTTTTATCTGTTTTACAAAACGCTCTTTTTTACGTTTTGTTTGTATGATAAATCTTTCTTCAACCCTTTACTTTGAACCTGTTGGTATTGTTACATGTGAGATGGTCTCTTATAGACAGCAGACAGATGGGTTTTGTTTTTTTAATCCAACTTGCCATTCTGTGACTTTTCAGTGGTGTGTTTAAACCATTTATATTCAAGGTTAATATTGACATGTGAGCTTTTCACCCTATCATGAAATTGTTTGCTGGTTGCTTTGTACTTTCTATTGTGTGGTTGTTTTATAGGGTCTGTGAGCTATGTACTTGTGTGTTTTTATGATAGCAAGTAGCATTCTTTCATTTCTATGTTTAGAGCTACCATGGGTATCTCTTGTAAGACTGGTCTAGTGGTCATGAATTTTTTTGGCACTTGCTTCTCTGGAAAATGTTTTTATTTCGCCTTCACTCATGAAGCTCAGCTTGGCAGGATATGAATCTTTTGATTATAATTTATTTTATTTAAGAATTCTGAAAATAGACCCCCTAATCTCTTTTGGCTTGTAAGGTTTCTGCAGAGAAGTCTGCTGTTTCCTGATGGGGCTCCCTTTGTATGTGATCTGGCCTTTTTCTCTAGTATCTTTAGGATGTTTTCTTTGTCAGTGACCTTGGACAGTCTGGTAAGTATATGCCTTGGTAATGTTCATTTTTAATAGTATCTTGCAGGTGCCATCTAGCTTTGTTGTAGCTAGATGTCTACCTTTCTAACAAGATTGAATAAATTTTCTTGAATTAGTCTATCAAATATGTTTTCCAGGTTGTTCTCTTTTTCTCCTTCTCTCAAGGAAATGCCAGTAATTCGTAGGGTTGGTCACTACATAATCTCATATTTCTTCACTTTTTAAAATTCTTTTTCCTTTATTTTTGCTTGATGGGATTAGCTCAAAAGACCAGCTTTCAAGCTCTGAAATTGTGTTTTCTACTTGTTTTAGTCTATTGATAAAGCTTTCAGTTGTATTTTGAAATTCCTTAAGTGAGTTTTTTTAATTTCAGAAGTTCTGATTGATTTCTTATTAAGATGTTGATCTCTTCCTTCATTTCCTGGATTGATTTAGAAGTTTCTTTTTGTTGATTTCAACCTTGAATCTCGTTGAGCTTCCTTGCAACCCGTGCTTTGAATTCTTTATTATCATTTCTGAGTTTTCATTTTGGTAGAAAGCATTGCCAGAGAGCTAGTGTGATCTTTTGGTGGTGTCACTACATTCAGATTTCTCACGGTGCCCGAATTCTTGCACTGGTCCTTCTCATCTGGAGACACTAGCATTTTTTCTTTTTCTTTCCTTTCCTATGATATTATTATTTTTGTTGTTGTTGTTTGTTTGTTTGTTTGTTTTCTTCTTTCCCTTTTCCTCCCCCCTAGGGGGGTGTGACTATACAGCTTGCTAGGTAGGGTCTTTCGGCTTTGCTTCTGTAGCCCTATGCACTCTGTCAGCAGGTTTTATATATACCTACAAGCCAGTAGATGGTGCCATGGGTAAGAGCTGGTTGTGGCCAGTGCTGCCGGTTGTGTACTTGATCCTTATCTATTGGGAGGAACTCTCTCTTGCCTCAGGCAATAGGCTGATTTCCTGAGTAGACATTAATCTAAACTCCTTCCTCAGCCCTAGGGATAGTGGGGTTGTGGGGACAAGATGGGTGCAGCCAGATTCAGAAGGTCCCTTAAAGTTATCCTGCTTTCAGTCCAGATTTGGAAAAATGCCTGCAACTTTTTCCTGTGTCTTTCCCTCACAAAGTCTCCAAGTCTCTCCTCAAATTAGCCCCAGGACTTGTGAGAAACAGTGCTCTTCCTCTGCCTGCATTGCTTTGATCCCCAGTGGAAAGGTAAGACAGAGGGTTGCTGTCTCCCTCTCTCACATACTGAGGCTTCACTTACTTTTATCAGTCGAATGCTGTCATGTGGGCGTTTGTCTGCATTGTCCTCCCCAGCATCTGGGGTGTCCTTCATAATTCCAGGGAATTGCCATTTTCTTTCTTGAATTAAAGCTCACAGTTGATCTTTACGTACTTGCTTGCTATTTCCAAATGATTGAGGCATGCTAAAAGCCTGTAATCTGCCATCTTGAAAAAAACATTCTTGCATTCTTAAGAGAAATGGCACTTGATATTTATATATGGTATTTCTACATTGCTGAATTCACTTTGAAAATATATGTATATTTTTAAATCTACATTTATATGTGAGGCTGGTCTAAAGTTATCTTTTCTTCTACTGTATTTGTGCAATTTTGGAATCAGTTACATTAGTGTACTAAATGAATTAGGAGTTTTTCTTTTTAACTGTTATCCAAAAAAGGTTATAAAAGACATGACTTACTGCTTTCTTACGGATTTGGTAAATACTTCATCACGTCCGTTTGTAGAGAGGCGGCGAGAAATATTTTTACTATAAATGTAATTTGTGTACTTTTCACCTGTGAGGAGGAGGTTGCAGTGGGCCAAGATTGTGCCACTGCACTCCAGCTTGGGTGACACAGCAAGACTCTGTCTCAAAAAAAAAAAAGAAAGAAAATCAACTTAAAATGAACTCCTTGAATATTTCTGAGTGTATTTTTTTATATCTTGAACAAACATTTCTTTTCTAGGAAGAACTGGAACAATGGTTTGTGCCTGTCTTATTGCTTCTGAAACATTTTTAACTGCAAAGGTATGAAAGATGTTACTACAAACTTTGTCTTATGATGATTGGTTTGCTAGTTCTGAAACATCACTGGTAGGAACGTTAGTCATGGTGTAATTGGAGAAGCAGTTTTTAGAAAGTGTGTTTTTGATACTTTCTTGTTTAACATGCACTAGTTAGTAGATGACTGAAGAACCTCTTGCCAGGACTAGAGTGAAGTCAGTGAGGCGCAGACTTTAATGGAATGCTAGCAATTGCAAGAATTTAACGCGATAATTTTGACACGATATTGTAACAGTAAAAATTAATGCACAACGTCTATGATATATACAATATGAACATTTTAAATAAAGACAAGACCTGATGGGGCTGGATTAAGGTGAGGGGAGTAAAGCTATATTACACAGATACAAAAACATTCAGTAACCAAGATGCTTCTCTCACCTCACCTGACCCTGCTTTTACTCCTGCTGGTACCACACGTCTTCCTTCCTCCTGAGAATAATATCGAGCTTAATTAGATAAATTCTCCAAAGAGCCTTGGCCATCCTCACAACTCTTAGATAGATAAAAGGCAACTGAAAACAAAGCCTCTCCTCAATGCTTAGTCAATACATGTGGAGTCTGACATCTAGAAATTTCTGATAAGACAGGGTGGGATGTTTCTACTAAAAGCAAAGTTCGCAGTCATTTTTCTTTGTGCCATTTTCTTGCTGAGACGCTACATTTCCAGCAGCTCTGCTCGAGTTGTTTGGCATTCAGTCTAGGGAAGAAGTGGTGGTTATGCCCAGTGCCCAGCACTCCAATTCCACCACCTTTGGTTTTTCTAATATAAGGCACACATTTTGGAAATGGATGTGCTGGGATGGTGTTTTCAAGCTATGGATCATGATTTATCAGCGAGTTGTAAAATAAAGTTACTGGGTTGTGAGTAACATCTTTTAAAAATAAAATGGAGTAAAGCAGAATAGAAAATATCAAAAAGTTTAAGTATTTGTGTGTGTGTGTGTGTGTGTGTGTGTGTGTGTCTCCTAGGTTATTAATGTGACTTGCAGCTTAAAAAAACAAAAGGTTTGAAAGTCATTGACAGTCATTGATCCAGAGCCCTGGACTGAGAACCAGGGACTTGTATTCCAGGCCTGTGCTGCCGCTAACTGGCTGCAGCGTCTCCATGGCAGATTGCTTGGTTTTCTTTTGGTCTCAGTGTTCTCATTTGTGATATGGAAAGAAGGGTTAGACCATATGATTTCTAAGGTCTTTCCAGCTCTAAAATTTTATGAATTTACGAATCCTTGAATGAGAGAAGTCCTTGATGTGGCTGTGTTAATTTTGTTATTTTGGGTAGCCTCTGCCCGAAGATCACTGCGCCAGGCACCATGGCTCATGCCTGTAATCCCAGCACTTTGGGAGGCAGAGGCAGGCGGATCTCTTGAGGTCAGGAGTTCATACGCAGCCTGGCCAACATGGCAAAACCCCTGTCTCTACTAAAAATATGAAAAATTAGCTGGGCATGGCGGTACACACTTGTAGTCCCAGCTACTCAGGAGGCTGAGGCAGTAGAATCGCTTGAACCCAGGAGGCAGAGGTTGCAGTGAGCTGAGATCCTGCCACTGCACTCCAGCCTGGGTGACAGAGCAAGACTCTACCCAAAAAAAAAAAAAAATCAATGACTTTAGGAAAGAAGGTGGCCATAGAAACACGAAGGGTACCTAATACAGGAAAGGAAAAAGTGCAGATGAACTGTGGTTTGATTATACCCTTTTTTGTAGGAAAGCCTGTGTTACTTTGGAGAAAGGCGAACAGATAAAACCAACAGCACTAAATTTCAGGGAGTTGAAACTCCTTCTCAGGTAAGTTTTCTTTTTAAAAGGGAGAGTTTTTCTAGGGGAGTGGGTTAAGATTGCCACGTGTTATCTGGTTTATTTTAGACTCTTTTCCTTTGGTGATCAGGCAGCAGCAGTCGGGCACCCTGCACAGGCCTTGGTCCCTCCCTGAGGCTGAGGGTCCTGCTTCAGGAGCTGCCCACAGGTTGGGGGCTCTGGCTTCTCCTTAGAGCACCTGCTTTCTATTCCATACTGATTATTGTTTACGGAGCTCAGAAATTGATTATTCTCCCAAAGCAGGAAGGTCCAGTACCTAAGGCTCCAGGACCCTGAAGTTTATCTAAAATCACCAGCCTTTGATTTCAATGTAAAAAAGATACAAGTCTTTCACAAACCCTTACTAGGCCAATTCAACCTTTGCAGAATATCACAAAGACTGTTTCTGGATAACTCCCCTTTGTATGTGTGTGTGTGTCTTTTCTGTGTGTTTTGGGGGAGGTGTATTTTAAAATAGAAAGTAAAGGGGAAATAAACTTTCCAAAAACCCTTTTACATCCCAGACAGTATTGCACTTTTACAGGTCTCATTTAATACCCATAACACCAATATGAAATATACGCTGTTACTCCATTTTTTCTTTTAAAAACATTTCATTATGGAAAATTTTAATCATATACAGAAGTCCAGAGAATCATACAGTATATCCCCATAGAGTCATGACATTGCAGCAACCGTTATTTCAGCCTGCAACGAGCCGCGTTTCCCGTTGTTTTCCCACTCCGGTCACACCCCGAACCCCACTCTCCACTCTTGCTTTCCCTAAACCTGGGTTATTTTATTTTATTTTATTTTTGAGACGGAGTTTCGTTCTTGTTACCCAGGCTGGAGTGCAATGGCGCGATCTCGGCTCACCGCAACCTCCGCCTCCTGGGTTCAGGCAATTCTCCTGCCTCAGCCTCCTGAGTAGCTGGGATTACAGGCATGGGCCACCATGCCCAGCTAATTTTTTGTATTTTTAGTAGAGACGGCGTTTCGCCATGTTGACCAGGATGGTCTTGATCTCTCGACCTCGTGATCCACCTGTCTTGGCCTCTCAAAGTGCTGGGATTATAGGCTTGAGCCACCGCGCCCGGCCTAAACCTGGGTTATTTTAAAGCAAATTTCAGTCGTCAGATCATTTTATCCCACAAGTATTTTAGTATGACATTTAAGTACTCTTAACCACCAAAAACCCTTAATACCTTTTAATCATATCTAAAAATATTATACCTTAAAAATCCTTAATATCAAATTTGTAGTCCATGTTTGTTTCCAAAATGGTCTTAAAATCTTTGAAAATGTAGTTTGTTTCAATCAGAAAATTCAAACAAGGTCCACACATTTCACTTGCTTTCTGTGTCTCGTAAGTCTCTTTTAAGAATCTAAGTTGATAGATTTCTCACCATTTTTTGTTGCTTGTACTTTGTTTATTGCAGAAACCAGGATGTTTATCCTATAGCATTTACTACGTTCTAAGCTTGGCTGAACTATCCTAGGAGTTACGCACTCACTGTCTTATTTAATATTCTCAGTTACTTTATCAGCAGACACTACTATGATGCTCGTCTTATAAATTAGAAAACTGAGGTCCAGAGAGTAACTTTTGGACTAAGGATTGAAATCTAGATGTCAGACTCTGAAGCGCATGCTATGCACAGCTTCTCATTTTTATTGTCTTTCTATATTGCCCCTCAAACTGAAGTGAGACTGGGTTGGGAATTCTTAAACAGACTTGGATATGGCTGTAAATGAGTTTTTCTTTAAGTGGTAGGAGCTGAGTAAGTACTCGGCCCTGTCCGAACACTGTAACTACTGATCCTCAACCTGTAGTTTGGGCCCAAAGAACTCAGCCTTATCCACTGATACTTTTTTTCCACATCTAAGCCAAAAAACAAAACAAAGATAGTCACAGATCTAAGCTAAAAGTAATAGGTGAATTTACTGAAGTGCAGCCCTAATCATGCCACTTCCGTGCTCAAAATCCATTCTACGTCCCTGCTGCCAACGGCAATAAACAGAACGTTTCACCTGGCACTCCAGAGCCACAGTCTGACTTCTCTGCTGTGTGCATGCCACACCCCACGCTCTAACACATTTTGACTGTGTGCTGTTTCCCAGCCTGTGGACACTTGATACCCTCATGCCACTGCTCATGCCCCTTTTCCTGGAGTCCCTTTGCCTTCTCAGCCTGAAGTCGTCTCTTGCTCTTTCAATTCTTAAAGCCTTTTGTGTTTCCCTTCAGGACTATGTCACTTTGCATTATCCTCTAGCTATGTGAAGTGGTGACTTCTGTATCCCCTTTAAAGGCAAGGTCCATGGCTTACCCATCTTTCCCTACTTTTCTCACAATATCTTCTTTGTTTTTAGTGAGTGCCCCCTATGTGTTGGTTGTATTAATTTCTACTACAAGTTCATGTTGTTTTAAGTTATAGGGGAAGGAAGCAGGGGAGCAAAAGCCATTTAGGAGAAGGTTGAGAATCTGGTGGCAGGAGCCAAGGGGATGTTAGATGGAGCGCCTTCAACAGCTCTACCCACGCATCTCCCCATCCCCAGTTCTTTTACACTTATGCATAGTTTCCCCAACTTTAGTGCAGAACTAGCACACCAAAGGCTGCAACTGAATCTCTTCCAATTCACTGAGAAAGCAACACAGGGACTCAGCTGCAGTTTGAGAGCTGTGTTGGCAAGACCTCAGGAGAGAGTACCCTCTGTATCTGGTGGTGATTCTCAGACACCATCACGTTCTGATGCTGCATTGTGGGCCATTCTGCTGAGTACATCTACTCCTAAGTTAAGAGCTTTCATGAGCCTTCCTCATGGCTGGCCCTTTTTAAAGGAAAGTATGGCAGTTAGTGACTTTAGTGAACATTTCCCAATGGATAAGGAAGAGTCTGTGAATCTGAGTCTTTTTTTTCGGACAAAGTCTCACTTTGTCACCTAGACTGGAGTACAGTGGTGCAATCTCAGCTCACTGTAACCTCAACCTCTTGGGTTCAAGCGATTCTCCTGCCTCAGCTTCCTGAGTAGCTGGGATTACAGGTGCCCACCACCACGCATGGCTAATTTTTGTATCTTTAGTAGAGACAGGGTCACCCTGTTGGTCAGGCTCATCTCAAACTCCTGACCTCAAGTGATCCACCCACCTCGGCCTCCCAAAGTGCTGGGATTACAGGCACGAGCCACTGCGCCTGGCAGACTTTTGAATTTTGAACCAGTTGATTCAGTACCAAAGCTCTTCAACAACTTTGAGGAAAATTCAAGGAGAGCCATTGTGAACACCTTACCCCAGGGAAAGGACAAGGCTAAGAGAATCCCAGGGCTTCCTTGTGAAGACAGAACTGGGGAAATGGAAAGTGAAGAAATTCTAGCTGTCAGAAACGAGAGAAGAATGACATGAAATCTGCTACTGAGGTGTGGAGGTATTCCTCTTGAGTTTCCACATACACCATTCTCTCATGCCGGGAAGCTGCTCTCCACCAAAGCACGAAGCTTCCTCTAACTCAGTCACCACTAAGCTTCTATCTGCGCACCGATGATGCTATAACTGTTCTGTTGTTGGTTCTGGTTAGTTGCCCTCTCGACCATAAGCAGCCTATAAACTCGACCTGGCTTCACCCTTGTTACTTCCCTACAGCGCTTAATTCAGTATTTTTCCCCCAAGGTATATAGTCGTGAGGCAACCTCCCTAAAAATGTCTAGTTATAAAACGGCATCAGTAAACATTTCCTTAATTACTTACTCCCCTTAACAAGCTTTATACAAAAAAAAAAAAAAAGGAATGTTGACTTTAGACTTTTCATCTCCACTTAAAGTGAGGCGTCCATTGCTTTTCAGAATAGATATGTTGGATACTTTGCACAAGTGAAATACCACTACAACTGGAATGTCCCTCCTGAAAGGATACTCTTTATAAAACGATTCATTATTTATTCGCTCCATGGTAAGTACTTTATGTATAATTGAAGAATTGGGCAGGAGGGCCAATGTTCCTGCCCTGGGAGGGTTTTGCTCATAGCTATATATACAGATGATCCTAACTCATACTTGTTTTTGAAGTCTTGCTCTGTTGCCCAGGCTGGAGTGCCAGTGGTGCGATTTCGGCTCACTGCAGCCTCTGCCTCAGCCTCCTGGGTAGCTGGGATTACGGGCACATGCCACTCTGCCCAGCTAATTTTTGTATTTTTGGTAGAGACAGGGTTTCACCATGTTGGCCAGGCTGGTCTTAGAACTCCTGACCTCAGCTAATCTGCCCACCTCAGCCTCCCAAAGTGCTAGGATTACAGGTGTGAGCCACCACACCTGGCTGTACCTGTCTTTTTATGAACTCTTCATCACGTATGCTGCTCCTCCTGCAATTGCCTGTTGATTGCGGGCCCTCAGATGCTCTTTACTTTCTCTTTTCCATCACTAATTTGGGGGGCTTCATCCCCTTCCCATCTCTTCTGTTCTCATTGCTCCTCTGGTCACAACGTAGGGTGGACTTTTCAGGGTAGAGTGAGCCTCTGAGGAGGGAGGAGGGTGACCCATGTGCCCTCAAGACTCGTATTTCTCATAACCACCGCTAGTTCAGAGTTTGTCCTGATGGAGGTGTCTCCATATCATATCATGTTCTCATCTTCCTTCAGAGGCATATTTTTTTCTCATCACCCTGGGCTCTTCCTTTCCCCTCTGTCGTCCATCTGTAACCCTCTCACTCCCAGCTTTCACTCAGGGAAGGTGGGAAAGCAGGATCGGTCTGTGTGGAGGGGACCCACTCCCACTGCCAGAGAGGTAGCAGGGAGGTGATGCTTCTGCACCCCGAAAGCAAACCTCTTGTATCAGCCAGCTTGTGGTCACCTGAGGTGGCGCCAGTGTTGGCTGTTATGGATGCCATGGTGCCAGGATACTGGTGTCCACACAGACATTTTTAGCCTTCTGAGTTTAGTTCTACATTTCACCGATTTCTGGTAGACATCAATAGAAATTCTGCATCTGGAATGGGGAAGAGGGAACTAAGACAAGAAACTGTGATTTCTAATGACAAATGAATATCATGGTGTCTGTGAAAACAAAATTAAATGAAAACAAGCAGCATATGAGACGAGCAGTCAAGAATCATTAATACACTAGTTTATTAAAATATTTGTTTTAATTCTCTACCTTTAGTTTTGTGCATATTTAAATTAAAATTAATATAGAGTTGAGAGGAAAGCAATAAAAAATTAATTGGCTGAGAAAGCAAGTCTTTGAGGACATGCTAAAGGAATTGGGTCATTTGAGTTGGAAAAAAAGGGGCGGAAGAGCCTTTGTCTGTCAATATACACTGAACACCATGGGAGCTTTTGGATGTAACTATCCTATATCTTTATAGAGGTCGCATCAGTAACTGGCCTTAAAGTAGGGCCAAAGTAGTTTAGACTACAGTATTTATTATTAAGAATCATTGTGATTAGAAGTCTGAAGAAAGCAACACATTAGCAAGAAAGGTTGCAAGTCACCTCCCCTAAATTTTTTTTTTTTTAAATTTTGAGACAGCATCTGTCTCTCTTGTCCTGTCCAGAGTGCAGTGGTGCAATCTCAGCTCACTGCAACCTCTGCCTCCCAGGTTCAAGCAATTCTCCTGTCTCAGCCTCCTCCTGAGTAGCTGGAATTACAGGCACGCGCCATCATGCCCAGCTATTTTTTGTATTTTTAGTAGAGATTGGGTTTCACCATGTTAGCCAGGCTGGTCTCAAACTCCTGATCTCAAGTAATCCACCTACCTCTGCCTCCCAAAGTGCTGGGATTACAGGCGTGAGCCACCATGTATGGTCCACCTTCCCTAAATATTTTTTCTGGAAAGATGAAGCGATGGGATTCTAAGTCTTTGAAGCTGATTGTATGTGATTTTTTTTTAATCCCCTCTCTTATAAAATCTGCTTTAGAACTGGGCTTGAAGCCTTGTCTTTCAAAGACAAACTCCATGCGAGACCAAATAAGTAGCTGCTGATACATTGTTAACTTGGATAATTTTTCTCTTTTTAATCCATGATGTTAATTGGTGAGACATTTTGATCTTTGTGCTAACCAACCTAACTTTTAAATTTTATTTAGGTATTCGAACAGGCGATGAAAATGATCTAAAAGTCCAAATAGTAATGGAGAAAAGTGTTGTCTTTTCCTGTACTTCTTTAAAAAATTGTGTGGTAAGAGAAAACACGTGAATGGAAAAAATCCGATGTTTGTTTTAAGGCTGAATGTCAAACCAGCAATGTTCACCTCCCTAAACTATCACTCACTATAAAGAGATTCCATAATGCTTTCTGGTTACTGTCCAGCTTGGCATCACTGGATTTGGATGCAAACCAGAGATAAATTCACCTGTTTGTTCAAAACAGCTTTTTCAGGGTACTTTCCAGAATTTATTTCTGTTCAGCGGTGCTTTGCCTTTCACTTTTCCACGAACGCTGAGCATGTTCCCAGGAATGTATTAAAGGTTTTAATTTACATATCTGGTCATTTCTAGCCCTATTCTCTTCTTCTTGGTCATTTTATCTTTTATCCTAGAGCACTGATTCTAAAGTTTTAGTGTACATGAAAACCACCGAGGAGCTCGTAAAGGTTTACATTCCTGGTTTGTCCCTGCAGTGTATGATTTGGGAAATCTGGAATGGGGCCCAGGAATCGATAGACTTAGCAACGTCCCAAGTGATTCTAAGGCAGAGGTTCTGTGGGCTGACACTATGAGAAACAGCGCAAGAGTGAAGGAACTGGGGAGGAAACTCTTTATTCAAAGCTCAAGGACCTTGTAGTCGAAGTTCTGCTACAATGAAGAAATGCCTAAAACTGTAAACCTTTTCTGAAACAGTAAGAAAGCTTCCTTCATGGGCTAATAACCATAAACTTAGAATTCCTACTGAGGCCTTTGTCTCTGATTCTCCTATTACTAACCCTATTCCTCTCCTCTCTGCATCCCCCCACCCCTTTTTTTGGCCTCTCCCAACTGAGGGCATTCACCTGGGCCTGACCGTTGGCTTTCTGTTCTTAGCAAATGCTTTATTCTTGGTTAAGGAATGACCCATCCCCTTTAGTTAAACTATTATTTGTTAATTTATATAACAGATATTTATGAGCACCCACTGAGTTGTAGATGCAGGAGCTACAACATGAACAGTTTCCACTCCAACCGAAATGCATTAGCCAGTGAATTATCTGAATTATCAATGAGCTTTCTTTCTGCTTCTACAAATGGCACCAGCTTTCTCCCACTCCGGCTTTGGGCTTTGATTCTCTTTGCCTCGGTCCCCTAAATCCAGTTAGTTATCAATCCCTGTTGATTATGCCTTTGAAATTTTTCTGCACTCTCCTGACTTTCTGTTCTCAGGGCCACTGACTGTCCGGAACCTCATTTGCTCATGCCTAGCCTTCCACAATGGTCACCTTACCTTTCTTTCTCCTTATAAAATGGAATGTAGAGAATCCTGAAATACGCATCCTGAAATATGGCTCTCATTGTGAAAAGTTGTAGGTGGAGCAGAAGACACACTGTGTGCCCAGGTCAAAACCAGTTAACACCCTTGGCTCAATATCCTTATCTGTAAAATAAATATCACATCTCAAGTGTTGTGGGAATTAAATTGAATAATATATGCATATATATATATATAAGTTTATTGTAAACTATAAATCACCGAGTGTTAAATGTGGTAATTACCAGGCCTCTTTGTCACATAGGAAATGCCCCACCATATTCTTCAGCAGCCGCACCCTTATTGCCTTGGCTCCTGAGCTGTTAAGATATCACAGCCCTAACATAAAACCTGAGCTTATTTCTGTCAGTAGCTTGACCAGAAGACTTCATTCCAAATAAACTGGGTCATCCCTTTTGGATCTTGGAACACAACTTTAATTTCATTCGTTCGTTAGTCGGTTCTTTCTTTCTTTCCTTCCTTTCTTCCTTTCCCTTTTTTTTGCCTTGAGTCAGGGTCTCATTCTGTCACCCAGGCTGTAGCTCAGCGGCGTGGTCATGGCTCACTGCGGCCTCGACCTCCTGAGCTCAAGCAATCCCCCAGTTTGTTTATTTTTTATAGAGACTGGGTCTTGCTGTATTACCTAGGCTGGTCTCAAACCTTTGGGCTCGAGCAACCTTTCCACCTCAGCCTCACAACTTGCTGGGATTATAGGCATGAACCACATAGCCTGACCTTTTTTGTTGTTGTTTTTTAAATTTCTTTCTTTCTTTTTTTTTTTTTTTTTTTTTGAGACGGATTTTGGTTCTCATTGCCCAAGCTGGAGTGCAATGGTGAGATCTCGGCTCACTGCAACCTCTGCCTCCCAGGTTCAAGCGATTCTCTTGCCTCAGCCTCTCGAGTAGCTGGGATTACAGGCATGTACCACCACACCTGGCTAATTTTGTATTTTTAGTAGAAAAGAGATTTCTTCACGTTGGCCAGGCTGGTCTTGAACTCCTGACCTCAGGTGATCCGCCCACCTTGGCCTCCCAAAGTGCTGGGATTACAGGCATGAGCCACAGCACCCGGCCTATTTTTCTAATTTCTACTTTGTGTTATTGCTGGTCTTTTTCCCTCTGAATGGACTAGATTCTGTTTTCGAGCTTTTCTTCCTTTATCTAAACTGTTTCATGCCCAATTCAGTTTCTACCCCCTCAATGAAATTTTCGCACTCTGCACCTCCTGTTAACTAGCCCCCAATGGTGCGTAAGAGCACACCAGCCGTCCTCATACAGGTTGGGTTATATACCATTCTACTGTTTCTTATGTGTACAGCTTCCTTAAGGAACCAACTGAGTCTGTACCTCCTTTTGTGTTTTTCACAGGGCCTAGCATAGACTTTTCTTACTGTAAAGGTGTCATTATTTATATGAGAGTAAGCCAAAAAAATAGTATAGCTTTAAAGTCATTCATTACCAAACTTGATCTGTCTGTGGTCACTCCATCCTGCAGCCTGCAGTGGTCAAGTCCAAAGATCCCATTGACAAACACAAGAGTTCTGTTAAAACATCAAGTGTTATGGACCCCGTTGTTATTTTTTAAATTTAGAAAATAAAATACCATGATGAGTTACGCATTACTTTTTGAAGGTCAATGCTAGCTTTAAAACTGAGCTTCTTAATGTATTCTCAAAAGAGGCCCCTAATGCCTGAAAACCAAATGACACACATTAAATAATATTTAATTGATAGAAAATTCAATACGTTTTAAAAGTGAGGCACTTAGGTAAGGCACTTTTAGTAGAGACAGCCAACCCCATCTCTACTAAAAACACAAAAATTAGCTGGGTGTGGTGGTGCACGCTTGTAGTCCCAGCTGCTTAGGAGGCTGAGGTAGGAGAATCGTTGAACCTGGAAGGCAGAGGTTGCAGTGAGCAGAGATCACACCACTACACTCCAGCCTGGCAACAGAGCAAGACTCCATCTCCAAAAAAAAAAAAAAAAAAAAGAAAAGAAAGAAAGAAAAGGAAAGTGCCTCATGATAACCCTTAAACATGTTGGCCCTTAAAAAATGTAAACAACAGGCAGGACATGGTGGCTCATGCCTGTAATCCCAGCGTTTTGAGAAGCCCAGGTGGGCAGATCCCTTGAGGCCAGGAGTTCAAGACCAGCCTGGCCAATACAGTGAAACCCCATCTCTACTAAAAATACAAAAATTAGCTGGTTGTGGTGGCATGCACCTATAGTCCCAGCTACTCGGGAGGCTGAGGCACAAGAATCACTTGAACCTGCGAGTCAGAGGTTGCAGTGAGCTGAGATCATGCCAGTGCACTTCAGCCTGGGTGACAGTGAGACTCTGTCTCGGGAAAAAAAAAAAAATACACACACACACACATATAAACAATAGTAATGCAACTAGAAAAGATTATTAAGAATTATTTACATATGTAGTGATCGGTCTATGGACCAAAAGCACTTGATAACTTCCTATAGGAAGTCATGATAAATGAAAAGGAACTTCACTGTTATCCTAAGCCTGGCTTATAGCTCTGAGTTCCATGTGTCCATTCCCAGGTGATTCACGACGCTGAAACAGACAGAGTAATAATTGATGTCTTGAACTGTCCACCTCTGTATGATGACGTCAAAGTGCAGTTCTTCTCTTCCGTGAGTAATCAAGCAGCAGCCTCTGCCGTTGTTCTTGTCTGGTCTTTTGAATGATTTTATTTAAGATTTGCTTTACTGCAGTTCCCAGCAAGGGAGGTGATAGAGGCCGTGGCATAGAGGGAGGGGGAGAAAAACGATAAATCAGACATACAACGGAATTTTTTAAAAGAACATACGTAATTTGAATAATTTTGTTCATTGTTTTTTTTCTAAATTGTAAACTTTCTAAATTTTTCTAAATTTACATGTATTAATTCTTATACAAAAAATACAAAATACGAAAAAACGTAAAAGCCAAGGTGCTAAAAAACCAAAGGTATGTTTTACCGCATAGCAATGATTACATCTTGTTTTGCATCTTTTTTTTAAATTAAAAAATTGAGGCCGGACCTGGTGGCTCATGCTTGTAATCTCAGCACTTTGGGAGGCTGAAGCGGGTGGATCTTGAGGCCAGGAGATCGAGACCATCCTGGCCAAAATGGTGAAACCCCGTCTCTACTAAAAATACAAAAATTACCTGGGCATGGTGGTGCCTGCCCATAGTCCCAGCTATTTGGGAGGCTGAGGCAGGAGAATCACTTGAACCTGGGAAGCAGAGGTTGCAGTGAGCCGAGATCACACCACTGCACTCTAGCCTGGCGACAGAGTGAGACTCCATCTAAAATTTAAAAATTGAGACAGGGTCACACTCTGTCACCCAGGCTGGAGTGCAGTGGTGTGATCATAGCTGAGTGCAGCTTCAGCCTCCTGAGCTCAAGCAATCCTCCCACTTCAGCCTCCCAAGTAGCTGGGAGCATCTACTGGAAAAAGAGTTAGGTTTGGGTGACTCAGCTGGGTGAAACGCAAGGAAGGCAGCACAATACAACACACGAAATAGCCAGAGAGTCTGTTATTAATTCCAGAGAGAAGAGGGCAGCACACTTCGCTGGGCCAGCTGTACCGGGGAGCCATCCAGGAGACCTGTGCTCGACTGATGGGTGGAGAGCAATAGCGAGAGAGAGGGAGGGACCCGAGAGTGGAGGCCTTTATTGGGATGTAAGGCGCTACCTGAGAAGGTTTCCTGCAGGGAAGTCTAATTTGGTTTAATGCGAGCAGGCATGTGTGCCATGAAGTCATGCTATGACTGAGAGGTGGTCACTGATACATCTACACGGTCCATGCAGAGTACGGGGATCTGTGGGGTGAGTCAAGTATGTTATATCTAGCTGTCCCATAATGAAGTAGTTACCAGGATAAGATTGTATAAGGCAGATATTGGGATCAGTCACGTTGAGAAACTGAGAGGAGGTAAACTGGAAATGCTGAGGGTAACTGAACCCCACTTCTGATATCAGAAAGTCCAATTTATATTTGAAAGGAATGCTGAGGTAACAGCAACAAGAAAATTGTAAGAATTCACTACAATGTACTTGGGTATACGTAGGCATAGGTCCTTAGTAGATCCTGTTTAGCACCATCTAAACAGAATTTAAATCTGCATTTAAATTAAATATCTATCGGGAAAAAAAATACTATTCCCTGAAAATTTTGATAGAAATGGCGAGAGAAAGCAATGGCATTTTCTTAAAGCCTCCTCCTTTGTGTCTAGATTGTGTCGTCATAGACTGCAGAGTGCTGCATATTTAATAGTTCTGTTTGATAAATATATCAAGGATTAACGGAAGGAAACTGATTTCTTTGGAATGATTAGTTCTTGATATCAGTTTTACTTTGAAAATAATTTATTTTCTTTTTAGGAGCTTCCTAAATACTATGACAATTGTCCTTTTTTCTTCTGGTTTCACACATCTTTCATACAAGATAACAGGTATGGATATAATAGAAACCCATAGGAACAGCCTGATCTTCGGTGTCTAAGGGGTAATGGCAGTTCTTTTGCTGTTTGTCATAAACTGAATTTACAGGAAGCAAATGCTCCTCGAGCCACCTTCCTCCTCTTACCATGGTTATTATAAAATACAGTTGTCCTTGAGACCCACTGTTGCAGTATCCTCAAGGTTCATGCCATAGGACTGTGTCATGGGTTCAAAAGTCTTACAATCAGATCTTAAGTGTGGCAGTAAATTCCTCCCAGAGAAGTTCAATATGAGCCTGCTCGGTACCTTCATTATGTCAGGTCTTCAGTAGGTGCTGATTTACCAATGACGAACCACAACCAAATTTTGTGCTAAAGTAAGGCAGGACCTAGGGAGGCTTCAGCTAGCTGAGAAGCTGACTGATACACTCATATCTAGGAGAAGTTATAAGACACAGTAAGTATTAAGGAATACACCTAAAAATACTATTAAGTAATAGTCTCTCATTTAAATGTGGCTTTCTAATAACTGAATTGGGAAAACTTTCTGAATAATTATTAATTGGATTTAGAGATCGTTGTTCCAAAAAACCTTCTGCCATATTTGGAAACTCATTTCTCAGTCTAGAAGTTCTCCACTACATGTAGCATTTGTTCTGTGGTGGTGAACATTTTGAGTTTTGGTATCAACCATACCCTCAATACAAAAGGATAAAATATTTTTTAAATGATTTAGGTCAGAGCTGTAGAAATGGCTATGATTCAATGGCATGAATTGATAGTTATTGTTACACCCAGTCCTAATCTTTTCTTCATATGTGAACTAGAACTCCTTAAGCCCAGCAAGGCAACGCTAAATTAAACCTCTGGTCTACATACTTGTAAAGCATACACATTTCATGGATGTTGATAGAGTGAACTTTGGATTTGATGGAAAGTTTTTACAAATTTTTTTCTTGGATGCATACAAACAATAAGCTTTTTCTTCTAACATGAGCAGAGTCCCTCAAATAGAGCTGGGTGGAGTTTCATTTGACACTATTTCTCAAAAGTGATTCTTGCTAAAGGATACAGTTTTTTTCCCTTTAAAACACCATGTTCATTTGGAGAAGCAATAAGGCCACTTTTATCCTCACTTTTATGTAAATTTCTAAAGATTTCTGTAACATTTAAATTTGCATACTACTTGGTAAAGCTGTTTTTGTTAGTTATGAGATTGTTGTTTAGCCAAAAATGCCAACTTCTATCATTTAGAACACTAGGCACAAAGGTGTTAACCAATTTATTCCGAGTGTTTCATTATTGGAACACTAAGCATGTGGGAGTTAGATCGTACTGCTCCAGGTCATCTCCAAGGTCTGATTGTAAAAATTCAAAAAGTTGCCACCTCACAGATGAATTAAAAGAGATATAGTATTTTATTACTGGGTTTTCATTTATGTCTAGCCTGACTGATTCCTGTCACATATAGACATTTAGATATCTTATTAAACCTGGATGTCACTAATTCCATAAAAAGCCATGTTAAAAGAATCAGCATGCGTTCCTGATATGGTGATTAAAGTATCTTTAAGTCTCACTAAAATGGGGAAAGAGACAACTGAGACCCAAAAAAGGGGCTGAGGTTCTGTTCACGGTGAGGTTCTTTTTTTCTTTCTTCAAGCTCGAACAAGGGTGCCCAACTGCATGCCTTTTCAGTTAGCCCCAATAGCAAATGCAGCTTTTTTTTTCCTATTCTTAGGCTTTATCTACCAAGAAATGAGCTGGATAATCCACATAAACCAAAAACATGGAAAATTTACCCACCGGAATTTGCAGTGGAGATAATTTTTGAGGAGAAATGACTTACAGTTAAGGTGTAGCTAATTAAGAATAGTTCCCCCTTCCCCTTCTGGGAAAGAATTACGTTTTTTCCAACCCCCGCCTTCCCTGCTGATATATCTATGTTTATATATGTTTACATAGGTTCTTGATAAATCTATTAAATATATGTAGATAAAACATCAGTGTGTTTTTTTCTTTTTTGAAGGCATATACTTCAGTTTCCATCTTGTATTTACATAAATTTGGAACACAGTACACAGAAACGTTAGGCATCATTTTGAAGAACTTTGAAATAGAACTTTCATATCAAAATAATTGAGATATTTAAAAACTGTGATTCCCCAACACCCACTTACTTACGTATTTTTGATCAAGTATTTATTCCCTGCTTTGTTTCACATTTGTCGTCTGAGATTTATTAGAAAGCTAATTTAGACTTTTTTCTTCTACTTCATTTACAAACTGTTAACAGATTGGCGGCAAATACTTTAAATCCAGAAGAGAGAAATGTTTCACACAAGCAGTCCCCTGGCTCCCAGCACACACTCTTCTCTCAATCCAAGCACTAAGTGGGTAGCTTACTTCAAGAGTTTCTTTTAATTCCACACAGACATGGGGGTTGGGACAAGAAGACTGTGGTAAATACGAAGGATAGGTAATCTTCAGTAACTTCTGCTTTTGTATAAAATCGTAAGTAAGTGAAATCAAAAGAAATACTTGTTTAGTTAGCAACATGTCTACAGGAAATCATCGTTATTTCCTCTTTGATGCCAGGTGCTACTTTTTTTTTTTAACAAATTTTTTTTTTTTGAGACAGAGTCTCACTCTTGTTACCCAGGCTGGTGAGCAATGGCGCGATCTCGGCTCACTGCGACCTCAACCTCCCAGGCTCAGGTGATTCTCCTGCCTCAGCCTCCCAAGTAACTGGGACTATAGGTGCATACCACCACACCCAGCTAATTTTTTGTATTTTTAGTAGAGACGAGGTTTTGCCCTGTTGCCCAGGCTGGTCTCAAATTCCTGAAGTCAAACAATCTGCCTGCCCCAGCCTCCCAAAGTGCTGGGATTACAGGCATGAGCCACCACGCCCAGCCTGTAGGTGTTGTTCAAAGTACCTTCATTGCCACTGTATCCTCAGGCCATGATTGTCCTTGAAAAAGTTCTAATTTGGCTTTACTGAAATTATTTGAATGATTTTCCTTTTATTAGCAAGGCTCTCAACAATCTAGACCAAGATGAATTCATCAGAAATTGAAAGGTAGCAACTAGTAAGTCAAATGTCGCTGCTAAAACACTGTATGTCATTCCTGAAAAACCTCGCATTCTACAGAAAACACTAAAAAAAAGAAGCAGTTCATGAATATATAGGGCTTGAGAGATCAAGGCAAAGCACTCCAGCATAGCAGCTTTGTAACCAACACACTAACCACGTGGACTACCCATGTCAGCACCTCAGGGTCTGGAGTTTGCCATAGGAGCTTTTTTATTTTTGAGTGGAAATGGAACAATATATAAGTGCTGTGGGTACCAGTGAAGTATTTGGATCGAGTATAAAAATTGACACCAAGACAAAAGTATGCCAAGTTGCAGGGTCTTTATTGCCGGCGACCACAGAGGACTCACGTCTCTCCAACCCGTGGCCCCAAAAGGAGGGTGACAAGACCCTTTTATGCCTATAAACCACCTCCAGGGAGAGCGTGTGGGGCGGGGGTGGGGGTGAAGGGATTCAGACATTCTGAGGGCCAGGGGATTCCGTAAGGGCAGAGAGGAGGGTGCGGGTCTCTGGACATTCCAAGGGCTAGGGGACTTGTTGTCACTTCGATTGTTACCTAAGTGGTTTACAGAAGTCAAGATAAGCGTTAGTTTACACATTGTCTGGGCATTGGTGGAATCCACAGATCTTAGTTACTTATTACAAGTGCAGGAGCCAGGATGGAATTAGCTTGGGCTGCTGCAAAGGCCAGCAATTCTGGCAGTCACTGATAAGAAAAGGTAAGCAGTTTCATTTACAGAAGCCAAGGCCAGCAGTCATTGTGAGGAGAATGGGGCAGCCATTACAACTTATTTTTGGAAAACAGCTTTGTCTCTTATAAAATGGCGTTGCTCAGGTTCCAGCTATAGCACACCAGAGTGGCACAGATGAGAGTTCAGAGCCTTGAGCCATGGTGGGCATGGAAGGCAGCAACCTGCCAGGAGCTAAGAGCCCCACGAGGCTGGTGAGCAGCCTAACTGCAGGTGATTTTTTTTCTCCTCTAAATATTCCAGAAAAGGTTCCAACTGCCCGTGCAGCAGCCCAACTAAAGCCTTTTTCCTTTACTCCCCTAATCTGGCTCCCCCTTTGAGGAAGAGATAATAGAACATGCTTTCACATTCCTTTCATGTTAATATTATACCCTGCCGTTCATATTACAGACACATGTGTAGGCATAACACGGGTTGTACTATTTCATTTAAAATTCACACATCAATAATCTACAGAGGGTAGATGATGTCCTCAGTTAGGTGAATAGGGAGCAAAACGCTTAGCTGGCTCAGTGAAGAGTAAGATCTGTCTTTTTCAATACTAGCAATACAGGAAGGAAGGAACCCCTTTTTTATTTTAACACTTTTTGAAATAAAGAGGTTACCATTAAGTTTTCTCTTCCCCAAACCTCCAAGACCCATCAAAATTTGGAAATTCTGAGTTGTCACACTATTCTGTTTTTGCTTATTCAAAGAAAACTTGTTTAAGGCCTCTTTGGGCATTGCTTTCTTAGAGTGTAGAATGAATGATTCTTTCACCATCCCAAGAAACTTATATATATCAGAATTGTTAAGTGTGCTCTGAATGAAGAGACCCTCCAAACAGGCTTTGTCTGAGCAACATGGCTGCTTATTCACCTGGATGCGGGGGAGCTGAGTCTGAAGAGAGAGTCAGTGAAGGGTGAAGGGATAGGAAGTTGGTTTCATAGTTTTGGGGTAGTCGGTGGAAAGTTACAGAAGTTACAGTTCAGGGCAGTTTTTGCAAGCTGGGAGGGGGTCGTAGGGTCTGGAGTCATGAGGTTGACCTGTCAGTTGAGCGAGGTTGGTTACAAAGTCCAGTTGCCTTATCATTTGAGGTCTTACATTTAAATCTTGAATCTATCTCCAGTTAATTTTTGTGTGTGATGAAAGGTATGGGTCCGGAACCGTTATTCTGCATATAGTCAGCCAGTTGCCTCTGCACCATTTATTGAATTATTGAATAGGGAGTCCTTCCCCCATTGCTTGTTTTTGTCAGCCTTGTCGGAGATCAGATGGTTGTAAGTGTGAGGCTTTATTCTGAGTTTTCTATTCTGTCCCATTGGTCTAAGTGTCTGCTTTTGTTCCATGCTGTTTTGGCTACCTTATAGTTTGAAGCCTCTGGCTTTGCCCTTTTTGCTTAGATTTGCTTTTGCTATGCAGGCTGTTTTTTGGTTTCATATGAATTTTAGAATAGTTTTTTCTAATTCTGTGAAGAATGACATTGGTAGTTTGATAGAAATAGCACTGAATCTGTAGATTGCTTTGGGCAGTGTGGCCATGTGAACAATATTGATTCTTCCAATCCATGAGCATGGAATGTTTTTCCATTTAATTGTTGTCTCTGATTTCTTTCAGCAGAGTGTTGTAGTTCTTGTAGAGATCTTTCACGTCCTTTGTCAGCTGAATCCTAGGCATTCCATTTTCTTTGTGGCTATTGTAAATGGAACTCTGTTCTTGATTTGCACCTTTTGGCAGAGTCTTTAGGGTTTTCTGGGTATAGAATCATACCACCAGCGAAGAGAGATAGTTGGACTTCTCTTCCTATTAGGATGCCTTTTCTTTCTTTCTTCTGCCTGAGGGCTCTGGGTAGGACCTCCAGTACGATGTTGAATAGGAGTGGTAAGACTGGACCGGGCATCATTGTCTTGTTCCATTTCTCATGGGGATTGGTTCCAGCCTTTGCCCACTCAGTAGGTTGGGGCTATGGGTTTATCATAGATGGCTCTTCTTATTTTGAGGTATGTTCCTTTGATGCCTAGTCGGTTGAGGTTTTTAATGTGAAGGGATGTCAGCTTTTATCAAAAGCTGTTTGTACATCTATTGAGATGATCATATGGTTTTTGCTTTTAGTTCTGTTTATGTGGTAAATTACGTTTATTGATTTGCATATGTTGAACCAGCCTTGCATCCGTGGACTGAAGCCTTCTTGATTGTGGTGTCTGAACTTACTGATGTGCTGTTGGATTCCATTTCCTAGTATTTTGTTAAGAATTTTTTTGTCTGTGTTCATCAGAGTAATTGCCCTGAAGTTTTCTTTTTGTGTGCATCTCTGCCAGATTTTGGTATTAGGCTGATGTTGACTTCATAGGAGTTAGAGAGGAGCCCCTCATCCTCAGCTCTTTGGAATAGTTTCAATAGAACCAGCACCAGTTGTTCGTACATCTGGTAGAATTCAGCTGTGGCTTCTTCCTTGTTGGTACATTTTTTATTAATTATTTGATTTCAGAACTCGATATTTGTCTATTCAAGGTTTCAATCTCTTTCTGATTCAATCTGGAGAGATTATATGTTTCCAGGAATTTATCCATTTCCTCTAGATTATCTAATTGGTGTGCATAGAGTTGTTGATAGTATTCTCTGAGTATCTTCTGTATTTCTGTGGGATTGGTTGTAATGTCATGTTTGTCATTTCTGATTGTACATATTTGGCTCTTCTATTTTTTTCTTTCTTTATCTAGCAGTCTATCAATTAAAAAAAACTAATTATTGGTTTCATTGATCTTTTGTATGGATTTTTGCACCTAGACTCAAAAACAAGAACAACAACAACAAAACCAGCATTTTAAAAAGCGCTTCATTCAGTGCTCCTCTAATTTTCGTTATTTCTCTACTGCCAGCTTTGGGGTTGGTTTATTCTTTTTTTTTCTGTTTCCATAAGTGCAAAGTAGGAATGTTAATTTGAGATTTTTCTAACTTCTTGATGAAGGCCTTTAGTGCTAGAAACTTTTAACGCTGCTTTAGCTGCATCCTGGAGATTTTGGTATGTTGTGTCCCTATTTTCATTAATGTCAAGAAATTATTTTATGTCTGCCTTTATTGTATTTTATTATTTTTCTTTTTCTTTTTTTTAGCTAGAAGACAAAATGTTTTATTTTAAAACATTGAAAAAACATTAAAAGACAAATGCCCATTAATTAACCAGGAATGCTAAATATATGGAAACTGTAAATCTCTAAAATGTGGTAGGTACTTCCAAAGTTAAATGTTGGAAATTATCCTACTTTTTTTCTGTAACATCAACAGAACAGTACCGATATGATGAAAACTAACAAAAAGACCTTACTAATTATCCAGTCAAAGTCATCATCTTTGGGTAAATTTATATCAACACAAGTTAAAATTTTGTCAAAGATGTTCCTGACGCATGAAGCTTCCAGCTGAATTTCAGAAACGTTAACAAAAGTGTCATCGTTTTTTGCTGTGAATGTTTGAGTATTGCTGTACTGTTGGCTCATCTAAACTACAGATAGTGGTTCTAGGCCTGCCCAAGGATCTTCAAGCGTTGAAGGCTTGAAATAATTTTCCAACTCATTAGACATTTCTGTTTTCTCAAACACTCCGTGATCCAAATGGTGCAAATTTCATTGGAGAACCTGGGGGTGGGTCTGCTGCTGCCCTGGGAAGTAGCCGAATTGCTGCTGGGACCCCGAGGGGGACCTGGAGTAGGAGCCAGGGTAGCCGCCAGGGTACGGAGACCCGAACCGGGCCCCGGGAAGCTGCCATCGTGTCGCAGGGTGGCTGTTCCCATAGGGGTCTAGACCGGGCCCTTCGGCGGCCTGTGGTGTGGACTCCCATATCCGTCTTGAGGAGAGGGCGGCCGTGGTCGGCCCCAACCCGGGATGCCCTGCAAGCTGCTTCCGCTACCCCAACCTCCTCCACCTGGACCAGGGTAAGGAGGAGTCGGGGCAGAAAATTCTGTTGCTGCATATCAGGAGCGGGATCTGAAGTCCTCGCAGCCTCGTTCTCCTCTGCCTTAATTTAAATGTTCACCCAGGAGTTATTCAGGTACAAATTATTTAATTTCCATGTATCGGTGTAGTTTTGAAAGGTGATCTTGATACTGATTTCTGTTTTTGTCACACTGTGGTCAGAGTGTATGCTTGGTATGATTTCAAACTTTGTGAATTTATTGAGGCTTGCTTTATGGCCAAGCATGTGGTTGATCTTAGACTATGTTCTGTGTGCACATGAGGATCTATCTTCTGTGTTTGCTGGGTCAAGTGTTCTGTAGATGTCTATCAGTTCCATTCGGTCAACTGTCAAGTGTAAGTACAGGGTTTGTTCGTTTTCTACGTTAATGATCTGTCTATTGCTGTTAGTGGGGTATTGAAGACTCCTGCTATTATTGTGTGGTTGTCTAAATCTTTTTGTAGGCCAGGAAAAGCTTGTTTTATGAATTTAGGTGCTCCAATGTTGGGTGTGTGCATATTTGGGCTGAGTCTTCTGGTTGGATTGTGCCCTTTGCCATTCTATAATGCCCTGCTTTGTCCTTAATTTTTATAGGTTCAAAATGTTTTCTCAAACACAAAATGTTTTATTGCTGGGCATGGTGGCTCACACTTGTAATCCCAGCACTTTGGGAGGCTGAGGCAGGCAGATCACAAGATCAGGAGTTCGAGACCAGCCTGGCCAACATGGTGAAACCCTGTCTATACTAAAAATACAAAAATTAGCCAGGCATGGTGGCAGGCTCCTATAGTCCCAACTACTTAAGAGGCTGAGGCAGGAGAATCATTTGAACCCGGGAGGTGGAGGTTGCAGTGAGTCGAGATTGTGCCGCTACACTCCAGCCTGGGTGATAGAGCAAGACTCCATCTCAATATATAGATATGTTTTATCTAACATAAGAATAATGACTCCTGCTCTTTTTCGTTTTCCATTTGCATGATAGATCTTTCTCTGTCCCTTTACTTTCAGCCTGTGGATGTCGCTAGGAATGAGTTAGGTTTCTTGGAAACAGCAGATGGTTGAGTCTTGTCTTTTGACCCAGCCTGTCACTTTTTGTCTTTTGAGTGGGGTGTTTAGCCTGTTTACATTCAGGGTTAGTATCGATGTGAGATTTTTATGCTGTCGTTGTTGTTACTTGGTTGTTGGATAGACTTGTGTGGCTGCTCGGCATTGCCTATGGGCTATGTGCTTAAATGTATTTTTGTGGTAACAGGTTCTTGCAGTTACGTGTTTAGCACTTTCTAAAGGATCTTGTATACGGCTGGTCCAGTTGAAATGAATTCCCTCAGTGTTTATTTCTCTGAGGATTTTATTTATCCATCACTTAAAAAGCTTTTCGGTGGGGTATGAAATTCTTAATTGGAATTTGTTTTCTTTAAGGACACTGAAAACAGATCCCCAGTCTCTTCTGGCTTGTGAGGGTCCTGCTGAAAGGTCTGCTGCCAGCCTGAGGGGTCCCATGTGTGTAACCTGGCCCTTCTCTTCTGCTTTCTTTAGGGTCTTTTCCTTTTGCATTGACCTTGGTGAATCTGATGACTGTGTGCCTTGAGGACGATCGTCTTATATAGTATCTAACTTGGTTCTCTGCATTGCTTGGATTTACATGTCAACCTTTCTAGCAAGATTAGGGAAAGTTACATGAACTGTATCCTTAAACGTATTTTCCAAGTTGTTTCTTCTCTCCCCTTTTCTCTCAGGAATGCCAATGAGTCATAGGCTTGGTCTCTTTACCTAATCCCATATTTCTCTGAAGTTTTGCTCATTTTTAAAAATTATTCTTTTTTGTCTGAGTTGGTTAGAAGAACTCTGAGATTCTTTCCTCAGCTTAGTCTGTTCTGCTGTTAATACTTCCAATTGTATTATAAAACTCTTACAGTGAATTTTTCAGCTATAGAAGTTCAGTTTTGTTCTTTCTTAAAAAGGCCATTTCATCTTTCAGCTCTTGGATTACTTTGCTGGAATCCTTGGATTAGTTTCCAACTTTCTTCTGAATCTTGCTGAGCTTCCTTGCCGTGCAGATTCTGTTTTCTACATCTGTCACTTCAGACGTTTCCGACTGGCTAAGAACCATTGCCAGGGAGCTCGTGGGGTAACATTTGGAGGTGAGGAGACACTCTGGCTTTTTGAATTGCCAGAGTTCTTGTGCTGATTTCTTCTCATCTGAGAGGGTTGGTATTCCTTTAACTGTGGTGTTAGTTGAGTATAGTCAGTTGGCTGCATTTCTTCGTGGTTTTCTGAGGGCCAAGGCTCTGTGCAGGGTTGAATTCTTCGGTTTTACAGGAAGGTCTTAGTAAACTATTTTTGTAGTTTGGGCTGAATTCCAGTAGATGGCGCTTAAGAGTAATGGTCGGTAGATGGATCTTAGCCACATAGCCCCTTTGTATTTTCTGGTGTTTGTGGCTGTGCTTTGTGGTACAGTGGGAAGAGAGGTGACCACCTCATCAGGTCCGCTCCTGGGCCCTGGGGGAGTCCCTTCCAACCAATGGCACTGTGCCCAGGTCTCTTTTGTCAAGGCTGTGGTAGGGAGAGAGACCACTCGTTTTCCAGCCAGCTGGCCCTGCAGAGGGAGGCACGCCCCCTGCTGTGGTAGCCCACAAGTTCGCGTAACTCAGTCCTCAGTACTGAGTGTGGGCTCTTCTGCTCTAGTGCCTGCCACAGATCTCGCCTTGGCACTCCCAAGCTGCAACCTTGCAGGCTTAGGCTTTTTTTTCCCTCCTCAGGTTAGGGACAGCAGGGGTGGGACCCTGGCAGTGGTAATGGCAGAGGGCCTATCAGTTGCCTCTGGAGACTCTACCCCAGACAAGTGCAAAACCACAGCCAACTGGAGTGATCAGCCAGGGTTGGGGCAATGTGCTGCTGGCCCCAAGCTGGGGGTCCTGCCTGAAGAGCAGGTGGTCAGGCAGCCCGATCCAGAAGTCTGACCTCCTATCCGTGGGATGCTGTGAGTAAGTGATCTTTATTCCCTCCCTAGCCTGGAGGAAACAAGGACAGGTACTGTGGTGGCAGCAATGGCTGGGGCCTGTCAGTTGTCTCTGGAGCTCTATCCCAGAGAAACACAGAGCCACCACCAACTGAAGTGATCAGGCAGAACCTGTGCTGGGCCCAAGCCAGGAGGCACCGTGCCCAGTGAGGAGCAGCAGGGCCAGGGACTCGTGTGGAAAATGGTCTGGCTGCCTCTCCATGCGGCAGCTGTGGTGTGCTGGAGGCCTGTAACAGCTGTCGGGCTTTTTGCTCCCTCTGCAGCCTGAGGGCAGCAGCCACACAGGCTTCAGCAGTGCAGAGGGCCTGTTGGTTACCCCTGGGAGCTCCATCCCAGAGAAATGAAGGCTGTGACCAGCTGCAGTGTTCAGGTGGAGGGTAGGATGGCTGTGATGGAGGCCCAGGTCAGTGGGCCTTGCCTGGCCAGGTGCAGCAGAGGTGAGGCCTGCAGTCTGCTCCTCAGCACCATGGATATGGCCCCTATCCTAGGGGCACACAAAAGACCCTGGCCTATCTTGCTGGCTAGACTATGGCAGCTGGTGTTGGGCCTCTCAGGGATCCACACTGGCTTGAGCAGTGGCTCTGCCCAGACTCCAAGCAGCTTTCTGTGTCAGTCTAGAGCCCCAGAGTGTCTGTGGGGGGCGGGTGGAGTCATGAACTCCTGTGCCAGGGGACTGCAAAGGACCATGGCAGAAGTGTGGGTCCCCAGAAGCTTTCACTCACCCTTTCCCGGCTGTAGGGAGCCTCCCCTTGCTCTGCACCAATCCCAGGTGGGCAGCTCTCTTGCCTTCCTCCCCTCTGCTGGCCATGAGTCACCACTGCTTCCTGGATGAATCCCAACACAGCCTGCGGGACGATCAACCTGAAGAGCTCGTGTTCATTCACCACTCGGTCTCCTCTTGGGAGAGCTGCGCACACCAGCTGCTTCTGATCAGCCACCTTGGTGCTGCAGGTACTTGTTTTCTTAAGTAGAATTTACTAACTTGGAATAGAATCATCCAAAACTTAAGAGCAAACCGTTTATTTTATAAATAGAGGGACAGAAAGACGTAGAGGGAGAAAGTAATTCTAGTGGGCCAAGTTCTGTAACTGCAGTGCACAGAAGTGTTTTTGTTGCCTTACCTATAGTGAAATTATTTCACATCAGGCATCTTGCTGACAAAAAGCGATGCTTACTGCAATATAAAACCACTGCCTTGAAACACTACTATACAGAACTCTGTAACATTCCTGACAGCTGGTTCCCAGCATGGATGTAAAGAACTTAAATGAAATTCATCAGACTCAAATATTAAGTAAATAATTTAATGATGATAGAACATGACATTTCTTTAGACACAGTATTTTCAAGTTATATTTTTGCCTGGAGTACAGATACGAAATGGCACAAACTGTACCCTGAATTAAGCAAACAATGAAAAAATAAAAATTCTCCCAACCCAGGCTTCCACTGACCACTCCCACTTGCCTCAGACTATTTCTATTGGAGATATCTAGTGAAATCTCTAATGGAAGATATCTAGTGAAATCTCTAATGGCCTGTGGGAAGATTCCTGACAGCAGCCTAGTTTCCAGGCACTGAGCATGGGACTGCGGGCTCTGAAGCAGTTTAACTCCTGTGGAAAGCCAGTCCCATTTCTATTTTGCTTCAATCCAGGCCTGGTCAGATAAAAGCACCACTCAGTAGCTACTGACCATTTAAGTATGGGGGAAAAGCAAAGTAGAAAACTTTTCTCTTAAAGAAAAAGCAAATAGAGGACCAGCCGTAATAGCTCTGCAGCACAAGAAACATGACAGGACAGAGGTCTCCTCCCCAGGTGACCCCCAGTATTTGTCGGCCTCTCATATCTCTGACCCTCTGGCTTCTGGCTTTGTGACTGCAGTTGCCATAGAAGATTCATGGACAGCACAAACCTTAAGGAACCTGGAGGTTTTGCACATGTACATTCTGCTGACAGGAACACATGGTATGGACTATTATGAAAATTGTTAGCCTGGTAGCACTCAGTTCACAGGCTAAGCAATATTTTTTATTGGGAGAGACCCTATTGGTCTTAGAGCAGCATAAAAGGGTGAAACTAACTTTAGTAGTGACAAGAATGACCCCCTTATACCATATGTCCAAAGAAGAGCTGCCCATCCCCAAGTCTATGGAGGATCAGATGAAGTACGGGCTTTGGTTGGTTGGCCAGCGAATGTTTGGTCAGTGAATACATACATGTGGCTTTTCTTATGTTCCACTGCTTTATAAAATCACATCCCATATACAGTCATCTTTAAAACTGACTGCCAGTACCAAATGCAGAAGCTTCCAACACCGTAAAAGCATGGCAAGATGGGCTTCAGGATGAGTCAGCTCTGCCATTACTCACTATGGAGTACAAGCACTGAGTTCTTTCTAGTTCTGTCAGAGAGGATTTCAACCACTGTCACTCAATCACCAAACAAGGCTTCTCTTGGCTTTGGCTCTCACTGTTCCTTGGAAGGCATTCTGATTGGTGGAGGCAGAGCAGACAGTGAGTGGTCCAAAGTGGAGTGATGGCCCCAGATGAGCCAACAGAACACCCAGGAATCCTACCCAGGCCAGGACCCAGAGACAAAAGGTAAGAGCTGCTGCTAGCCACACGGGTCTTTCATCAAAGCACAGTGGTACTGCCTACCGCTCTTCAATCCAAAGCCCTTCCTCAATCTAAAGCCCAAGAGGGGAAGTTCTTTGGGAGAGAAGGGAAGCTGGTAAGGCTGTGCTGTTTACCAAAGGCCTGACCCTCCAGGCCACGCCTAGCAATATAGTCGGTGTAGAATACGATCCCACCTAGAAAATGAATGGCACTATTTTAAGAGCAGAGCATCTTGGGGAAATCTAGGATGACTACTCTGAAACTTTTACTCAAGTGTGGAAGCCACACTGGTATGCAGGTAGACTGTCTTACAAATCTAGATAGATATTTTAGTTTTCAAGTACCCCATGAACTTTTAAAAAAATTCAACCACTGGCCAGGCACAGTGGCTCACACTGGTAATCGCAACACTTTGAGAGGCCGAGGCAGGTGGATCACTTGAGGTTAGGAGTTCAAGACCAGCCTGGCTAACATGGTGAAACCCCATCTCTACAAAAAATAAAAAAAAAAGGCTGGGTGCATTGGCTTATGCCTGTAATCCAAGCACTTTGGGAGGCCAAGGCGGGCAGATCACTAGGTCAGGAGTTCAAGACCAGCCTGGCCAACATAATGAAACCCTGTCTCTACTAAAAATACAAAAAATTAGCTGATCTGGTGGTGGGCACCTATAATCCCAGCTACTTGGGAGGTTGAGGCAGGAGAATCACTTGAACCTAGGAGGGGGAGGTTGCAGTGAGCTGAGATCGCACCACTGCACTCCGGCCCCAGTGACGGTATGAGACTCTGTTTCAAAAAAAAAAAAAAAAATTTTTTAGCTGGGCATGGTGGCACATACCTGTAATCCTAGCTACTCGGGAGGCTGAGGTGAGAGAATTACTTGAACCCAGGAGACGAAGGTTGCAGTGAACTGAGATCATGCCATTGCACTATAGCCTGGGCAACTGAGCAAGATTCCATATCCAAAAAAAAAAAATATCTATCAACCACTTAAGAATAGTACACACATTAAGTACAACCACTTAAGAATAGTACACACATTAAGTAGACCCTACATCTAGAATGGGTTAAACAACCATTTGTAAGCATCTTCATAAGAAGTACCACCTCTGGGTATTTCTGATAATATTTGAAATAATAAACATGGAACCAAACTGTATTTCCCTCAACACGTAACTGTCCAAACTGCATGTACAGGTAGAGGTTTACGCACAGCCCTGGCAGAACTGTACGCGGCCTTCTGAATGAGGTGCACAAGGTCACTGACCACTCCCTATTTTACCAAGGGCAAGAGCAGTGACTTTTCTATTTCAGTACAATTTTGGGCAGAAACGGTAGATGCAAAATAGAGGTTCTCCCATACAGTTTAAGATGCAGGGTAGAAGGGAAGACAAAAGGCAAAATTCTCAAGAAATCAGAATAACTTCATGCTGGTCTTGTACTCCAAGAAACCCTGAGATGAACTGTAGTCCTCGGACACCCGTGCTTGGCTCAGGCCCCTTCAGTATGCTTCCAACTGGCTCATCATCAACTTCCGGCTGTATTCGTAGGCCAAAAAGAGTGCTCCATTAGCAGGGAATGCTCGAATCATAGTAGGTTTTAGTCCGGAATATAAGGCCATTATTCCTAGAAGAGAAAAGGGCAATCAAAAAGACTGCAGCCGCCCCTCCTGTGGGGTCCCCATGCGGCTGCATGGCACATGCAAACCCAGACAACAGCACTGAAAGCCAAGTCAGGGAAGGGCACATTTCCAGCCTTCCCTAAATAGACTAACAAAAACAAGGACAAGCATCAGGTCTCCTGGGAAAACTGACTGATGCTCAGGTAACATACACCAATTCCATGCTTGATTAACTCTTCGTACAGGGATGGGGCAGAGTTGAGGCTGAGATGGCCAGACAGAGGTGGCGGCAGCTCTGCAGCGGCACCTGGGCAGTTGACAAGAGCACCAGCCTTGAACCTGGAGACCTGTTCATAGTATTAGTACTGCCCAGGGTGGTTATGAAGATTGAATTAGACAAGGGAGTTATAAGTCCTCTGTAAAACTTTACGTGTTACACAAATATAAGGGAGTCTATTACAATGAGTAACAGACAAGGTATCTGTGCTCTATCTGAGACACAAAGTTTCTGTGTTACTGTCCTCTTTCTTTTTACAATCAAAACAAGTTCACATCTGAGATGCTCAGATGCATTGTGGATGCTGGAAGAACAGGGGTTTACTCACCTTCGTTCTTCACCACACTTATAAAGGTTCTGATAAATCCTGCCTGTTTTCCAGACATGGAAAGAACCTGAATTCTGGATTTGATACAATCCACTGGGTAAACCGCAAGCCAGAGGCAAATCCCACCAACTCCACCACTTAACACCAAAGGCACAGGGCCTAGAGAAAAAAACAGCAAATGGCATTTTGTCTCCAGAACAGCTGATGTGACACTTCCAGAAGTCAATGCAGCAATGGCTGCAGGGAGGTGAAAACGGAAAAGCTAACGCTGCAGGATACAATTCTTTGAGGAAACTGCCAAAGCTCTTGTTACCGAGCTCTAAGGATACAAGGTTTGGTTTGGTAGCCCACATCTACCCCTGGGTCTTGCTAAGTACAAGAAACCCTAGTGAGGGTTATAATTAGTTTGGTCCCTGAGGTGCCGAGGGCCGGCCCATGGAAACCAGCAGGCCTCCAGCTGGGTGGCAGCCCCTTCCAGCAGGGAGAAGACGGGCCAAACACAATCTACGGCTTTCTTCAACTTTCTCACTCTTAAGTACTTTAATAGCCCTGATTCTTCTTTACCATTAAAAGCCAGAATTGTTTTTATTAACACAGCGGTTAAATCCGGGAGCTTGACTAACCCCAGAACAGACTCAACACACTGTGGGAGATGAAAAGAAAACTCACTCGCTCCTGTGAGCCCAGCATTGCATGTAGCTGTACCAACCAGCTAAACATGGTAAGCTGCAAAGAACTATGGTTTTCACTGCTCCCAAAACACTACTAAGATGGTCGAGTTTTAAGCTTATCTCAAGATTATTTACAGGTGATTCCCTAATTGGGGAAGTAGTTTCTAGATTTCTTCTCCCGTAAAATAGATCCAGAAAAATTAACAAACTTTATTCCAGTAAGAAAATTTGGGAGGTACTGCTACGACCCCTGTCCTAAGGAAATTATCAAGCCTGGAGGGTGGGTGCTATCAACTGCCTGCCACCATGTTACCTTCTGGCATCCAGAAGCTTCCCTGTGCCAGATGGAGCCACCAATGCAGGGAGGAGAGCGCAACGCGCAGAGTCCACAGAAACCAGACCTTCAGGGAGCAGACACCATCATACCCCACTGCAGTTGTGCAGACACGTTTACCTAGTTCATCTTTTGATCTCCCTGATGCAAAAAATGACCGGCTCAGTTCATAGCCACCGAAGAAGAAGAAATAGCCCGGTACTTCTCGAAGTAAAGTGCTTGAGAGCCCATGGTAGAAGCCCAGGGGGCCATCCTTCCTAAGGACACTCTTGATGACAGACCACACGGTACTAGGAGGAGACAGAGAGACAGGCTCAGTTATAGCAGGCGGGAAGGAAGAATGGACAAGGGCATTTACAACCGATTCACAGATCTGATCAACTGCTAGTAAGGAAGAAGCTGATTTTGTAAATGAAGAGCCAGGAATTGAGACTAAAAGGCATCTTCTGTGGGAACGAAATGTCTCAGAGAGGCATAATTATAACAAGTTTTGTCACCTAAATTATTGGTAAAGAAATTTTATTAAAATAGAGGCAATGCTTCTACTAGTCAGATTATCAAAGATATAAAAGCGAATACACATTTTTTCAGTAGTGGATAAATGAAAACTACAATTTATTTATAATAAGGAGTTGTCTAAACTCAGCAAGCATAAAACGGCATTTATTGCCCGGTCCCTTATCACTGTGATTCCTATTTCCTCAATCTTTCTGATGTGCTTTTGGGAAATCTGTTGAGGTGTTTACAGGGTTTGTTTTGCTTTAGTGCAGAGAAATGAATGAAGGAGTCAATGTTATTTGAAGGTAAGACGAACTCTGAGAACCAGTTACAGCACCTGCCATGCAGAAGCATCAAGAATTTAGTTCTCAGAGCAGCAGGGATGCAGGAGAATTCTAAGCAGATCACAGCCCTGCTCCTGTCGTGGCCGGAACACAGGACACTTTTTGTCTGACTCCCCTTCCTGATGGGGGGCTGCTGGGGCAGCTTTATCCCTGCTAAGAACAGGCCAAGAAATCACACATCTGTGCAACTTAATGAATCCCTCTCTCCCACTTTGTTCTCAGAGAGCAGGGGACTTGGCTCGGACAGATGAAGGATCAAGTCCCAAGGTAATAAAGGCTACAGATGTTTAGTAAGTATTTTCCTACTGAGAGCTTCAGAAGGCGCCGTCAGGTATTCTCCATTAGCCAGCCCTTCCTGCAGCACCACCACAGGGAATGCAACAGAGTAATCCAGCTCAACACAACCAACCTCCCTTCCAATCCAAGTCTGAGCCCCAAGCTACCATACCATGTCTTGTGTGAACACTGCTAGACCTCAAATCCAAAGTCAACTGATAGTTCAAGGCATCCATCTGCCTAAGTCCTTTGGATATAACTATTACTATCTTTTATTTATTTATTTTTTGAGACAGAGTTTCGCTCTTGTTACCCAGGCTGGAGTGCAATGGCGCGATCTCGGCTCACCGCAACCTCCGCCTCCTGGGTTCAGGCAATTCTCCTGCCTCAGCCTCCCGAGTAGCTGGGATTACAGGCACGCGCCACCATGCCCAGCTAATTTTTTGTATTTTTTTTTTAGTACAGATGGGGTTTCACCATGTTGACCAGGATGGTCTCAATCTTTTGACCTCGTGATCCACCCGCCTCGGCCTCCCAAAGTGCTGGGATTACAGGCTTGAGCCACCGCGCCTGGCCTTACTATCTTTTAATTACCTTGAATTACTTCCAAGGGGCACAAGGGCAGCTTTCTGGGTGCTGTTAATATTCTATTTGTTAATCTAGAAGCAGGTTACAAAAGCACATAAATTGTGTCACTATTTATAGAACGACATACTTGTGACTTACATGTGCATTCATGGTACTGTGTGTATATTTCAATAAGAAGTTTTAAAGACTTACACTCCTGGACTTGTAGGCAATGAATGTTACATTCCAGTTGGCTGTAATGAACCTCAAGGGTGCAGAAAACAGGGCACTCTTCCAAACCCCATTCTCACTGAGTGGGGACTGATCCCTGAAAATGGTCAATTTATCTACTGACTTTTTCCAGCAGATTTATAGGCTTTGAGTTAACCACAGCAATCCTTGCTCAGAACTCAGCCAGATATCAAGATAAATATGCAAGTTTTGCAATTAGTAAAGATAATACTTTCCAATTCAAGTAAATCAAATTGTGTATGACACAGCATTCTCAGAGGATGAGAATCTATTTTCAAGACTGAGCTAGAGAGTGATTTAATCATTGAAGAGTAGCTCTGCTTACAAAGGTGTTGATTAATGTTCTCAGAACTTTGCAGGTACACTTGAAGGACTAAGGGTAAGTGGGGCAGGGAAAGTTACCTCCAGGATTTGGGGCAATCAGCCTGAATACCCATGTAAAACCTGGGAGTGAGCATCAAATACTCATCTCAGAATCCAAATTGGCACTTACGAAGGCTCAGGTCTCAGGCCAAGTTCAAAAGCCACTCACCATGTACCTCCAAAAATGGTTGAAGATCATGCCTTATGTTTCCAAGAGGCCAAAAGGCTGTTAAGCTCCTGGCTTCTCCAGTTCTGGGGTGTTAAATATCTGTCTAAGACTTTCTAGGAGATGGGTGGTAGGTCCAATCACAGACAGTCCTTTCAGAAAATCTCTGACTGATACAGGAAAGCATCCTAGATACAGTATATTGCAGTAGATAAATCGGCCTCCACATCTACCACAATATAAAATGAAAAAACATCCAACACACTAGGGCAGTAGACGCCTGAGGTTTTTGCCCGAGTGGCACTTACTTCTGGCTTTTGGCTATCTTTCCTGATGTCTCCATCTCGTACATGGTCTGCAGCCGGCACTTCACGAGCTCTGTGGGGCAGAGCACCAGCGCAGCAAAGGCAGAGGCGAAGGAACCAGCAGCTGCATTCTGCAGATCACTGAAAGCACATGAGCAGACAGCTACCCCTCAGTTCCTTCATTCCTTTAGCACTCGCCACACAGCTGGCACTTTTGTGATAACGCAGGGTAAGGAGCCAGGCGTCGGGCAGGAACCTGTGATTCCAGCTACTCAGGAGGCTGAGGTGGGAGGATGACTCGAGCCCAGGTGTTCTAGGCTGCAGTGCTGACTGCGTCTGTGAACAGCCACTGCATTCCAGCTTGGGCAACACAGAGAGACCTCCGTGTCTAAAAAATGACGAAGAAGGAAACTTGCATGTGCTGTTTCATCTGTGGATCCCACAGCCCTGTGAGGCAGACAGCAGTACCCCAATTCCCTATGGGAAGTGACGCTTAGAGACGACACACAATGTGGCCAGTCACACAGCTACGAAGTGGCAGTGCTAGGATGTGAAGTCAGGTCTTCCTGACTGCAACATCCATATTCTTTTTATTACACACGGTGCTATGGACTGACTTCTGTCCCCCCAAGATGATGGTGTTAGGAGATGAGGCCTTTGGAAGTAATGAGGTATAGGTGAGGTCATGTGGGTAGGGCCATTGTGATGGGATTAGTGCCCTTAGAAGATGAAGCCAGAGAGCTGGCTCACTGTCTGCCACGTGAGGACACAGTGAGAAGATAGTATGTTCAAATTAAGACAAGCCCTCGCCAGACAGCACATGTGCTGGAACCCTGATCTTAGACTCCTCAGCCCCTAGAACTGTGAGAAGTTTCTTTAAGCCACTCAGTGTGTCGTATTCTGTTACAGCAGCCAAAGCCAAGATATATCGTGACATGACAAAATGAAACTCCACAAAAAAAACCTAAAGGAAAGGAGGAAAGTATTACCCCTAGCCCCCCACTGAAAAACATGCACTATTAATACTTCAGTGCATTTGCTCTCAGTTTTAAATAAAACTAGGTCCTAAGGCCATCCCTACACGCCCACAGTCTGAAGCAACCAGATGTGCAATGTAACGGCCACGGATGAAAACCCAGAGTAAGCTTTTAACCCAAAGTTGCTGCGTCACAAAAAGGTTTTCCAGTTCAGCTGATGACCCACCACCTCAGCAGCACAGAAGAGGGAGAAATGGTGCCACAGGAGTGCGGGAAGCCAGTACAGGTCTGCAAGCTCGGTGGTATTAGGTGAAGTGGCTAAACTGGAAATCTACACTAGGCAGAGGGACAAATGCACAGAAATACGAAAATAGAAGCATTCACCTCACATATGGATTTAGTACCAGCAGGGCTATGAAACTGGAATCCTGTAAGGGTTCAAGAATATGGGGAGGCCAGGCACGGTGGCTCGTATCTGTAATCCCAGCATTTTGGGAGGCCGAGGCGAGCAGAGCACTTGAGGCCTGGCCAACATGGCAAAACCCCATCTCTACTAAAAATACAAAATGAGTGTATTTTTGGTGGCGCATGCCTGTAATCCCAGCTACTTGGGTGGCTGAGGCACAAGAAGTACCTGAACCGGGGAGGCGGAGGTTGCAGTGAGCTGAGATTGTGCTACTACACTCCTGGGTGACACAGTGAGACTGTTTCAGAAAAAAACAAAAAAGAATACGGGGGAAAGTCTGAGAAGCTTTTCAGAAGAAAGACTTCTCTGGGAGTTCATGGTTCATGGGAGTCAGGAAAGATCCCTTCCAGCCCTAGAAGAGTTTGGTGTCACAGGATCATGACTGGCATTTGGGCTGGGACAATCCTTCATTGAGCAGGAAGGACTGAACTGGTTCCCTGACACCCATTCAACGCCAGCATCGTGCTCTCACTCAACAGCCAAGATCACCCTCACAGATTTCCAAAAACCTCCAAGGGTGGGTGGGAATCTTCGGCTAACTACCTAGGTAGAGATATAATCCCCTAACAATTTTTCTCTAAACTGAGCAAAAGTATAGACAGAGCTACCATCTTCAGGAGTACTAAAGTTTTACCAGTGTTACAGATTAGTATAAAATCAAGGTAGTCCCCAGTCTTGGCCCTGGTCTGCTAGTCCCTGGTGGCCCAGCCTCTGTGCCATGGCCAGCTGCGGCAGTGCGGGGGGGGGATCCCAGAGGCTGAGCGGGACTCAGATACACTCAAGTCTTTCAGAAGATGTGGCTCGGACTGGGGGTTTCTTTCAGGAGGAAGGCATTGCTTGCAGTATGGACTTCCTTTTGATGTTAGAGAATTAAGACTAAAACCATTAACGAAGGAGAACCAGGTACACAGATGGACTTGCACACACTTTGATGGGGTGTAGAAACCATCCAGTGCCGTCCACACCACTCCTTCCCCACTTCACTCCTTAGCAGCCTGTTAGAACCAAAGCTTAAGAGGGTTTCTGCTGCCTTTCAGCCAGCCTCAGATCACACGTGGCCTCCCTCAGGGACACTCTGTTAACCTGCTGACAGGCAATAGTCAATTAAGGGCATTAATCAGGTCTGCCAGGTTTGCCAGAACAAAGGTGGCAGTCAATAAATGTAAAAGTCTATTGCGTTTAAGATATAATAATGTTCAGACATCTGAACAAACAGCCGGCACATTATTACAGTGCAAGGGCATGGCCAAATCAGATACGCAGTGGACTTTGGCTTTCTCATGAATACTTTCATCGACTGTGCACAGAATGAGGTGCTGTATGTAGTATACATGTGTAGAAGGGGAATTGCAATGGTTATAGGTATAGGATGGGATTTTTTTTTTCTAAGAATTATCCGTTCGTCATCTATTCAACAAACATGTACCTGAGCAATCCTGCTGTGTAAGACCCTGTCCAGCCAAACGTCAAAGTAGAACAACACTCTGGGACATGTTGAAACCGGGAACAGACAAATATTTACAATGTGATTGCAGAAATTCACCACAGGCTCTCACAGGCAGCTCTTTCCTTTCACTGCTCACAATTAATCTTCTCTCTAAAACTGACCCTTACAAAGTATTCCAGACCCCCAACTGTGGTCTGATGGAAAGCAGACTGGGCAGGGGCTCGGAAGACGCGAGTTCAAGTCCTTAGCGGGGTGACCATGAGCATGTCAATATCAGCACCTCAGTTCCTCCATCCGTAAGAGAGAGGTAACATCTGCCTTGCTGCTCTCACAGGATCACGGTAAGGGCTATGGAGACATGATATACACATCAGAGCTTTGTAGACTCTAAGGGAGCATTTCCCCAACAGGTAAGAGGCAAACACTGTTCCTCGGGATGAAAAAAAAAGGCCCCAAGCTCAAAAAGCATGAGTGCTGGATTAGGTAAGGTTCATCAGGATGGTTTCGTAACTGTAAAACATCTAAGTGTCTTTTTTTGAGAGACAGGGTCTTCCTCTGTTGCCCAGGTGAGAGTGCAGTGGCATCATCTCACTGCAACCTCCGCCTCCTGAGCTCAAGCAATCCTCCCACCTTAGCCTCCCCAGTAGCTGGGACCACAGACGGGTGCTACCACGCTCAGCTAAGTTTTGTAGTTTTTGTAGAGATGGGCTTTTACCATGTTGCCCAGGTTGGTCTCAAACTCCTGGGCTCAAGTAATCTGCCCACCTCAGTCTCTCAAAGTGCTGACACTACAGGCGTGAGACACTGTGCCCAGTCTTAGGCATCGTTAATGAACTAAATAGCACATACATTACATGAAACAAATGTACCCAGAGTGATTCTTCATGAGAGACACTGATGTATTTCCCAACCCTTTCTTAAGGACCCCGGCAATTCAATGTTCTGAAAGCAGTGTGGGGAAATGCAGCTATAAGGTATTAGATTGTTCTCAGCAGAAAAACAATTTGCTCTTACCTGTCCTTCACTTTGTTCACAGGATAAGGAAACAAAAAGTGGAGGGGCAGGCAGGGCCAGATCCCCAGTGGTTTCACTCATGCAACACAGAAGTCACTGTCTCTCCTGTGGGGGGGAGAGGCTGCTTTGCTCGGAGGGCAGAGGTCTTCTCCAGGATCTTATGTGGCTGCTCACTGCCTCCCTGTCTTCTCTCCCCATTTCGTCCTTTGTGAGAAAACTGAACTCAAGTCCAGGCCTTCTCTAATAGAGTATCTCTCCTTCAACAAGGAACAAAACTACAGTCGCCTGTGGTTTTGCTTCTGTTCAGTCTCCATCATGACATGCCACCCTCTCCCGGTTTGTGCCCTGCTCGTTTCTTTACTGCCTTCCTGCCTACCCTTTCTGTGCTGGAGGGTCATCCCATCCACACTCAGCCCTCCTCACCGTCTACACTGTCTTCGTGGGCAACAGTATCCAGTCCCAAGCCTTTAAAAAAAACAAGCTCTACCCCTCATGGTGGAATTCCTGCCTATAAAAGGCCACACCCTCAGACCTCCAGGTACCTCCCGAGAACACCGCTGCACACGAAGAACCGACTTCAGTTCCTTGGGTCCGGCAGCTGCATTCAGGTTTCAAACTCCTACTGAAATAACTGAGACTGCCCTTTGCAACCTTGAAGCTTATGTCATAATTTTATGTGATTTAAAATAAATTGATGTTCAAAGGAGGGAGAGCTAAGCATCCCAGTGGTTTCCAAATTCTCTTTAGTGTCTACATAATAAACACCCAAGGCAAGACCAAGCACGAGCCAAAGTCTCATGTTTATCTGGACAGAGAAAGATGGACTCCCTGGTGTCTTCTCAGACATTTCCAACCCTTCCTAAAACTCCTCAAATCTATCTGGCTCAGACAACCTCTTCCAATGCTCTCTGCATTTTGCTAATGAAAGAAAAGCCAAAACCTGGATCACAAGCGGCATATACGGTTTTAGTGCAGCGTGTCTGCTGACGAGAGGTAGCACTGCCACCAGCACTTGAGCAGCATTCTGAAGAAAACGGAAACAGAGGGCAGCTCGTTCTCAGTGCTGGATTACGAGCAGGTCTCCTCCGTGGAGTGCACGTGTGGTTTCCAAGTTTTATATGACGGCAATGTGTAACTTCATAAATAAAAGGAAAGCAGTTATATTTTTAAAAAGGAAATGTTCTAAGATGAGAATGTTAAAAAAAATAAATAATTAAATTAAAAAAACAACAAAAAAAGGGAAAAAAATCTCGGCTCACTGCAACCTCTGCCTCCCTGGTTCAAGGGATTGTCTTGTCTCAGTCTCCTGAGTAGCTGGGATTACAGGCACATGTCTGGCAAATTTTTCGTATTTTTAGTAGAGATTGGGTTTCACCGTTTTCCCCAGGCTGGTCTTGAACTCCTGAGCTCAGGCAATCCACCCACCTCGGCCTCCCAAGTGCTAAGATTACAGGCGTGAGCCACCGTGCCTGGCTAGATTTTAATTTCTAATTTTTGTAGAGATAGGGATCTTGCTATGTTGCCCACACTGGTTTTGAACTCCCAGCCTCAAGCCATTCTCTTGCCTTTGCCTCCCAAGAAGCATGAGCCACCATGGTTAGCCAGTTTTGTGCTTTTTTTTTTTTTTAAACAAACAAAAAAGTGCGTGTCCTTGACTCACCTCAGCTTTGCCTGCTTGTCCAATCCAGCTACTTTCCGTACCACCTGCTGGCAGAAGCCATAGCACATGAAGAGGACGGAGTTCTCCGCGATGTTGGCGATCAGTGCTGGGCTGGTCCCCTTGTAGAAGCCACGGAAGCCGACCTGGGAGTAAGTCTTCAGGCAGCAGTCGGTGAGGCCTCGGTACAGCTCAGGGAACGTCTGCATCTTGACTTTCATTGTGTCGAAGGGCTGCCCGGTCAGTACACAGGCTGTGCCCCCTGGAATCAGGGCAGAAGACTGCTCTAGTGTGAGGCTCCGGTTCCACTAGCCACGGAGAGAAGGCACAGGCAGCCTACCCCAAAACTCACCTCTGCTTCAGTTCTTTTCAACCTCTTTTCCTCCAAAACCTTCCAGCCATGTCCAGTAAACAATTTGTAGCAGGTCCTTAATGTGCCTGGCACCTAAATCCCACCCTGAAGGAGCTCCTGCCAGGCAGGGGAGAGAGGCAGGCCCGGGATGAACAGCGCAGTGAGCATGCAGGAGCCTGGGCAGAAGGGTCAGAGGGACTATGGCTTTGCTGTGAGATCCTGACAAGCCGTGTACCTTCTGAGCCTCAGTTCCTCATCCATGCCACCTCACAGGGTTAGCACGAGGATTACATAAAAATGGAGAAGACGGGCTCAGCACAGCGCCAGCTACGTAGGTGTTAATAACCAACAGTCACTGTGTGCGCAAGAGACGGAAGCCACAGAAAGGGAGGGGAAAGCTGGGAAGTCTTCATCACTCACTTTGCCTAATGCCCAGTGGGACTGATCAGACCTGGCACCACGGAAAGGAAACGAGGAGTCTGGCCAATTAATCCCCAAAGAGCGAAACAGTTCACTCTACAGAAAAATCTCTTTCATTTGAATTCTACCAATTAATAACATGTATTTAGATAGAGAATGAACTGAACTTTATTTATTCTAGGTTTAAATCCTTTATTTATGTACTTTTATAAGAATATTAAGGCCAGGCGCGGTGGCTCACGCCTGTAATCCCAGCACTCTGGGAGGCTGAGGCAGGCGGATCACCTGAGGTCAGGAGTTCAAGACCGCTTGACCAACATGGAGAAACCCTGCCTGTACTAAAAATACAGAATTAGCCTGGTGTGATGGTGCATGCCTGTAATCCCAGCTACTCAGGAGGCTGAGGCAGGAGAATCACTTGAACCCAGGAGCCGGAGGTTGCAGTGAGCCGAGATCATGCCATTGCACTCCAGCCTGGGCAACAAGGGTGAAAGTACGTCTCAAAAAAAAAAGAGAGAGAATATTAAATACAGCAAAGTCTACATTGCACAAAATCATTTCTTTTTTTTTTTTTGAGATGGAGTCTCACTCTGTCTGGAGTACAGTGGTGCAATCCCAGCTCACTGCAACCTCAGCCTCCCAGGTTCAAGCAATTCCTGTGACTTAGCTTCCCAAGTAGCTGGAATTATAGGCACCCACCACCACACCTGGCTAATTTTTGTACTTTTCACAGAGATGGGGTTTCACCATGTTGGCCAGGCTGGTCTTCAACTCCTAGCCTCAAATTCTCCTCCTGCCTCGGCCTCCCAAAATGCTGGGATTACAGGCATGAGACACCGTGGCCAGCCACATGAAATCATCTCAATAAAAATTCTAAAGGGAAGAAAAGGAATGAACCGTAAACACCCTACAGTATCCCCAGACCCTGCAGTAGGGTCAGCGTCGTGGGAAGTGCCAGTGGTTAGTGCTTACCATCTCCCCCTGAACCTGAGAGGAGCTCTTCACACTTCATGAAAATGCAAAGGAAGGTTTACAGAAAATATTGAAGAAATCAGCTTCCTGACTTTGACATTAAACGTAGTCATTCCATCAAACTCCGGAAAGTGGAGTGGGGGGAAGGGACATTAAGAGTAATTCCCAATTATTTACTTGCAAACAAGCCAATACTTCCAAAGAGTCTGAAAACTGCTTGATTCTTTTTAAGCAACAAGCAATAGGATCTCTGTGACCTATAATAATCATTACCGTTTTTCCAGGAGAGGAATGACACTTCTGCCTTTAATTGCCAAATGATCCCCAATTCGAAGTTAGTGAAATATAATTTAAGTATGATTAATTCAGAGTCATTCTCTCCCAGGTACTGCTGGGCTAGGATAAAATGAGATCTGAATTACATTAAAATAATTTAATTATTTCAAGAGAACTGACAGAATGTTTTAACCTGGATGCAGATGAGCTGAATAAAGCATTTAACTCAGCACCTTCAATTTTAACTGGATCACCTCCTCAACATTTCAGGCGTCGCAGGTTACTACAATACACATTTGCTTCTATCTGGGACAGTTACATTCCCAACAGGGAGAAGGCAGGGGGCTAATGACTACCAAATGCTAGCAACAACTGTTACCCGTCCTCTGCGAGGGTAAGCTAACTTAAGCTAACTTCCCATGTAATTTACCACAAACCACATGGTCGTGGCACTCGCTGTGCCCTCAAGTGAGAGAAGACTGTTCTGAACACCAGTATCAACCATGGAGCCTGACACCTAGGATCTATCAAGTCCATAAAGCCATGAATAAATGACAGAGATCATATTTCTCCACGTGCCGAGAAGTCAGACTTCCAATCTTACTCTCCTTAAAAGACAAATAAAAACAGTCTTTAGGTGGAGTGGTGGCCAGCCAAGCATCTTATTCTGCAGGAGAGGTACTCAGACCATGTCATACCTGACACTTGACCAAGGGTGGTGGTTTGGATTTTCAGTCCTTGACACAGAGTCAGCAAATCACGAGATAGAGAGGAAATCTCTCAGGGCAGGGACAGTGTCTCAGGGAAGAGACAGCTCTAAAGAGGGCAGAGAGGTGAGAAGAGAAAAGCAGACGCACACCACAGGACTGGCCCACCTAAGCAGAGGTGAAGCCCTCACATCCCTCTGGAGGCCATCCGTAAAGGTTCAGTTTAACAGGTTCAGTTTAACATCATTTTTAAGAAACTGCAATCAAAAAAGGTTTGGGGTTGTTTTTAATTTTGGCATTTGAGGGGATAAACGTCAATGATCTGAAATGCCACATTCTTCAACTCTGCTAAACACGGTACACTGCCACGGCAGCCAAAGCAGTGACCGCAGCACTTTAGAGTTATGGAATGACCAACTCTTAAGGTGGTACCAAGTTCCCCTTTAAGACTATTTAACTTTTGGAATCCACATACCCCCATTTCAATAATTATCTAATTACCTAACTAAGTTCTTCAAATCCTCCTTCATCCTGGCTGTCTATAGAGTTCCAGATCTCCTACAACCACTGCAGATAGGGAAAAGAGAACTTCCCAGCACTTTAGAGTAGACGAGCTGGCTGAAAACCTGTGTGGTGGGGGAAACTTTGTTTAAAAGGAAAAGAAGAGACACACAGAACAGCACAAGCTCCATCCGCATCACCTCGGGAGGCAGCTGGGTCTGTGCTTAGAGTCAGATTGCTTCCGTGGGTGGCCTCTGCCGCAAAACACCGCAGGTCCTCTGCTCCTATCAATAGCTGACAGAAAAATCCCAAAGTCCAGCAAGTTCCACGTCCAGAGCCAGGACAGCAAAGGCTCCAAACTAACCCTCACTGCCAGTGCACTGCAGACACAGACAGAGAACTAAAGCAGAGGCAGAAACACCACCAGACAAGGGACCCAGGGACCACAGTCCTGCCCTGTCTTCACACCATCTTGCCGTGGAACCTTGAACAAATCTACTGCCCCTCTCTGGGCCTTTTTCTACATATCTAATGAGTATTTGAGCCATCAACATCTAAAGCCCTCTCTAGCTCCAGCATTCAAAGACTCCAAGATCCTCAAAAGTGGGAATCTCCTTTCATTTGCATTCTGTGAGGCTCACAGTAGAACAAGGTTTTGGTGTCTGTCACTGAGAGGCACCTCCTCTGCCCAGCCCCAACCTACAGATCATGTCTGGCTCCCCTCCCCATCCTACCCGCCCAGGAATGGGACTACCCATCGCAGCTCTAATTCGGTGAGGGGTGTCCCTGTGTTGCCAGCACCGGGAGAAATACCAGTCCAACAGTGATGGGGACAGTAAGTGTCAGTACATGTAAGGGTCCAATGCATGTTCAAATACCAGCAAATACCAGGCCCACAACCATACTGTTGCAATTTCTATCCTTCAAACTAAGTGTAAATCCTAAATATGGTACTGAAATACCAGTATACACATAAATAGGGAAAGATAAACTTTTTTTTTTTCCTGGTGGATTCCTGCTCTGTTACCCAGGCCAGAGTGCAGTGGTGCATTCCTGGCTCACTTCAACCTCTGACTTCTGGGTTCATGCAATTCTCCTGCCTCAGCCTCCAGAGTAGCTGGGGTTACAGGCATGTGCCACCACACCTGGCTAATTTTTATATTTTTAGTAGAGACAGGGTTTCACCATGTTGGCCAGGCTGGTTTTGAACTCCTGACCTCAAGTGATCCACCCGCCTTGGCCTCCCAAAGTGTGGGGATTACAGGCGTGAGCCACCATTGCCCAGCCAAAGGTAAACTTTTTAATTCTATCACAAGAGGTTCTAGATCTTCGACAGACTGACTAAAAGACATAAAATGTCAAAAAGTGAGACTCTCTCATGTGGCTAAACACCCTCCTACTGCAGAGACAGAACTGAGCTCAAAGAGCATTCATGTGCTGGTGAGAAGCAACCAGGGGCAGGCAGATGGCTGTACCATTCTCAGGGTCAGCATCCTCCCCAGTGTGGCGTGGGGCGGGGGCGAGGGGCCTGGGAGGCTGTAGCCTCAAGGCGTGCAGTGGACAAGAGACTACTGGGCGGACCCCTGCCAGCCTTCGGTTCCCTGAGTGTCTGGAGTCCAGACGCTCCTTGTGGGCTCTGCCCTGGGAGAAGTGCTCTTGCCCAGGGCTCCTTATCAGCACCTCATTAGCATACCTTGGCTGACCTTTGGCTCATGGAAAAACACTTGGCACTTCTCCGAACAATTTCTTTTTCACAATTGAGCAAATGACTGATGAGGTGACCACACTCATGACCATACTCATCTGTCGGTGGTGGGTGGGGGGGTGTGCTGGATAAGGAGAGCACTGGGCAACACCTCCTCTTGCCTCCGCACTCCAGGGAGCTGCAACTACTCTGAGATCTAGGAGGCCAGGGTAGCCCAGGGTTTCCCTCTGGGCAATCAGCATTCCAGCCACTCTTCTTGCTTCTGGACTCTGGAGAACTAAATTACCACCATGCACTTCCCATTCTACCACACACCTCAGCCTGAGGGTCTTGCTCTTCCTGCATGTTCGAGCTTTTTTTTTTTTTTGAGACAGAGTCTCACTCTATTGCCCAGGCTGCAGTGCAGTGGCGTAATCTCCGCTCACTGCAATCTGTCAAGCGGGTTCAAGTGATTCTCCTGCCTCCGCCTCCCAAGTAGCTGAGATTACAGGCGCCTGCCACTGCACCTGACTAATTTTTGTATTTTTAGTAGAAGTGGGGTTTCACCATCTTGACCAGGCTGGTCTTGAACTCTTGACCTCATGATCCACCCACCTCGGCCTCCCAAAGTGCAGGGATTATAGGCGTGAGCAACTGCACCCAGCCTGAAGCTGATCTAAGGAGTAGCCTGCACAGTGCCAGCACTACCCCCTTGCCACAGGCAGCACCTCCCTGTGCCAAGCCTCAGCCTGCCCTTGGGCTCAGGTTAGCTGACATTCCCAGCAAATCCTACAACTTCTCCTCTCCTTGAATGGCTCTAGGACAGGGTCCATTATCAGTCTCCTTTTTAAAGCTGTTTCTAAAGAGTGTCCTTTCTTTCCCAACACTAGCAGTGATGGTAAGTGGTGTCTCCAGGAGACGCTATGGCGTTATTTTTGCACCACAAGGGCTCTGAAGACTGCCGGGCTTGAAGTGAAGCACCACGCCACCTGCATATCCCAGCCAGGTGACAGTGGACAAGGGGCTTCACCTCTGAGCTGTTTTCCGGCTGTAGTGGGCACATTCCACCCCTCACCCTGACTCAGAAGGTATTAACAAGAATGGACACTCCTCCACCTTCTGCCACGCTCTGAACAACACTACACTTCCATCCAGTGCATTCATCCCGAAGGTACAGCGCATCGCTTCTGAAGGGAGGAAGTAACATTTTCATACCACTTTCACTTGATCTCACTTAGAAGCTGCCTGAGGAATGGAGAAGGCTGGGTTTTCTCTGGGATTATAGTCAGGCGTCGCTTAATAATCGGGACACGTTCTGAAAACCGCGTCGTTGCACAATTTTGTCATTGTGCCATCTTAGAGCATACACACCGACCCTAGATGGCATAGCCTACTCCACACCTAGGCTGAACGGTGTGGCCTGCTGCTTCTAGGCTATACACCTGCACAGCATGTTACTGTACTGGATACTGTAAGCAACTGTAACACAATGGTATTTGTGTATCTAAGTCTCTAAACACGGAAATGGGATAGTAAAAATATGCTGGTATAATCTCATGGGACCACCATCAGATATGCCATCCATCACTGACAGAAACATGGTGACGTGACACATGACTGTACCTGCAGCCCCCGCTGTGAGGTCAATGGCAGCCTGGACAGCGGGATTGGACTTCATGTTTGCCCACTCTTCTGCTGGTTTCCGTGGAAGGCAGCTCTCTGAAGCTTACGGCAGGCACCACATATCCCTGGGAGGAGACAAGAGTTCACCATTAGTCCAAGTCTGCAGCTTCCTGTTCTCTAGGCCTGCAGCCAAATGACTGAACCTAAACTTCTGGGAGCCATGAACTGGGCTCTACATTGCTCCAAAAGAAAGGGGCTCAGGGTTTCAGTGCAGCCTAGCAATTGCCCTCTAGAAAGCTCACAGATCGGCCGGGCGCGGTGGCTCACACCTGTAATCCCGGCACTTTGGGAGGCCGAGGTGGGTGGATCACGAGGTCAAGACATCAAGACCATCCTGGTCAACATGGTGAAACCCCGTCTCTACTAAAAATACAAAAAATTAGCTGGGCACGGTGGCGCGTGCCTGTAGTCCCAGCTACTCAGGAGGCTGAGGCAGGAGAATTGCCTGAACCCAGGAGGCGGAGGTTGCGGTGAGCCGAGATCGCGCCATTGCACTCCAGCCTGGGTAACAAGAGTGAAACTCCGTCTCAAAAAAAAAAAAAGAAAGCTCACAGATCAGAAAGCTTCCCTGTGTATCAATGCAACAGCCACCAGCAGCACTTCAACCAACCTTTCTGAAGACTGAAAAAATGAACACCAAATTAGTAAACCAAGCACAGATGTACCAAACCACAGCAGACTTGTATTTTAAGAAGCCGACATTAAGCCATCAATTGAACAGGCTCAGTTCTAAATTCAGACAGCAGCCTGTGCTGGGTGCCTCAGGGGATGTCACAAGACATTAGGACTGGAAAGGGGCGCCCAGGCAGCCAAGGATGGGAGCTGCACCTGGGATGACACATGCCTTAGTGAGTGCCTGCTCTAACTGCAGCGTGGCCCCTCGGCCTCTACAGGTGGGAGTCCTCATCTGTACAAAGTGAATAATAAAAACATTATCAAACAAAGGCTGTCACAAAAAGCCACATGGGACCGGTGGGATGCGCCACTGTGCACAGCATCATGTATTCTTACAAGGCCCTGTACAGAGCACCAAACATGTTCCTATCACCACACTCCACTAGCCCTTCAACCGTAAATGTGATGGCAGTTGCCTGGGGGCCTTGCTAAATAAAATGCAGCTTCTGATTCAATAGCCTTGGATGGGACCAGAGACTCTGCCTGTCTTGATGAGCTCCCAAGTGAGATGGCAACTGTGAGTCCACAAACTCCACTTAAGAGATGCGACACCTGGGCCATTGAGTCCGATTTGCTTGATGACCTAGAGCACTTCTTAAATATCCAAATTGCCAGGACTTTCTTCTGGAAATCTTGATTTCGTATGTTTCGGTTGGAGCCTTGGACGTGGGGAAAACTAGAATTTCCTTCTCTCCCTTTTGACAAAAGTCAACTACTGCTGAGGCGGGGGCTTAATAAATGCTGACTAAAATGTTCAACTCAACAACTAATTCTGTATAATTTTCAAAAGGTATAACTTACTTGTGAGTACTAAGGAATAATTTATTTGTCACACTGAGGAGCCGTGTGACCTGTCGTGCTGGATCAGAGATGGACGCCAAGTACCAAGTACCTTCCTTTTTTTTTTTTGAGACGGAGTTTCGCTCTTGTTACCCAGGCTGGAGTGCAATGGCGCGATCTCGGCTCACTGCAACCTCCGCCTCCTGGGTTCAGGCAATTCTCCCGCCTCAGCCTCCTGAGTAGCTGGGATTACAGGCACGCGCCACCGTGCCCAGCTAATTTTTTGTATTTTTAGTAGAGATGGGGTTTCACCATGTTGACCAGGATGGTTTTGATCTCTTGACCTCGTAATCTACCCGCCTTGGCCTCCCAAAGTGCTGGGATTACAGGCGTGAGCCACTCCAAGTACCTTCCTAACACCAACATCATCCTGACCGACAGCAGAAGACACTGTCCACTGAGAAGTTTCTTCCAACTTCTTGAGGCATTTTGCCAATGATCAGACTTCAATAATCTTCCTTTATTTACAAAAAACTTAAAGCCAATGGCAACAATGGCACAGTACTTAATAAAGCAACTAAGTTAGAAGTGCGAGACACCGGTTTATATGCTGTTGATAGATTTGGAGAGACAGCACTGTTTACTAGGCTGAAAAGGTGGTGGCCATCTGGTGTCTTCCTAAAAAAGTTTAACAGGGTCCTAATCCCTTTCCAGAAGGCAAGGGGCCTGGACTGAGACAAGGTCTTATCCAAGGCCACACAGCGAGTCAGTGACAGATGATTCAGTTCAAAGTCCTGTCCTTTCAGGTCTGTGCCTACAAACCAACACTTAATCTGACTATTTCAACCTGGCCAAAAGCAACATAAAACACCCAACCCTGCATTTTAGGAAAGAAAAAAAAAGGAGGCAACTAAGAAGACAGACAGGCAAGTCCAGCGAGGCCTCCCAGATAAACCTCAACACGCTCACTTCTTTGGGCAGACACTTCCGTCTTTATGAAGGAAAGTCACATCACACTGCAATCCATCTGTCCACGTGAATTCAACCCCGTTAGGTGAGCCAAACTTAAGCACATTAAATTCTACAAATAGGCCGGGCATGGGAGCTCATGCCTATAATCCCAGCACTTTGAGAGACCCAGGCGGGCATATCACCTGAGGTTGGGAGTTCGAGATCAGCCTGACCAACACTGAGAAACCTGTTTCTACCAAAAATACAAAATTAGCTGGGCGTGATAGTGCATGCCTGTAATCCCAGCTACTCGAGATGCTGAGACAGGAGTATCCCTTGAACCCGGGAGGTGGAGGCTGCGGTGAGCCGAGATGGCGCCATTGCACTGCAGCCTGGGCAACAAGGGCGAAGCTCTGTCTCAAAAAATAAATAAATTAATTCTACAAATAGCCACTAGTAGAATTATTATTAGGATAGAAAACGATGATGGATACTAACAGATTCACTCAGAAGGAGTAGGCAACTAATTCACATTGTGTGTAGCTCTGGCTGGGAGAAGACACGGGGCTTGGAGGAGGCAAGACAGTTCGGCATGGATTAAAATGGATTTATGAGCTTGCTGTAGCACTTGGAATAGGAAAAAAACCTTTTCAGCGCCTTTGACCCCTCTCTCAAATTACACCAGGGTGCGACTGAGGAACAGCGCCGACCGCCCATCCTTCTCGATCCTTGGGGAAATTAACTTTTTTTTGGAGGTGAGAGTCAGTAGATGAGGCTGCATTTTCCACCAGGGAACACGAACTGCCGCGGGAAGATCCCAGCTTCTGGCTAAAGCTGGGCGGTAGCAGGCGCCGGCCAGCTCGCCATCCAGTCCCCAGAGCCCGGGCCGTAGGGCGCCGGGATGCAAACCAGTTTTGCCGCCAAGGGCCCGGCGAGGCGCGTCCCCTCCCGGGCCTCGCAAGGACGGGTTGGAAAGACGACTTCCAACTTTCTCTGCCCGGCGCCGAACGCTCTCCGGCCCTGCCCAGCCGCCCACTCTCGGGCAGCCCGCGAGTCTCCATTCAGAAGCCGCTCCGTGCTGCCCGGCGGCCAAATGACACGACTTGGGGGCAAAGGCGGACAAAAGTTCCCACCAGGTGGGGACACTGCGGGAAGAAGCCCCACGACCCCGAGATCCTCCGGCGGGGCGCCCCGGGGCGGGGAGGGGGTCCAGTGGCACGTGCGCGGCGGCGCCGGCCGCTTCCCCAGCCGCCCGGGAAGGTCACGCCGCGGCCCGCCCTGCGCCCAGCTCCCTCCGCCCCGCGCGCTCCCCGCAGCTGCAGGCGCCGGGCCGGGCTGCGCTCACCACCGCGTCCCGCTCACGCTCCGCCGCCAGCTCTCGGCTCCAGGTCGCCGGCCGGGGCGGCCACTTAACGCCCACGTCGGCCGCGGCCCGCCCTCCGCCCCGCCCTTCGCGCAGGCAGCCCCGGCGGCCGCTCCGCCAAGCTCACGAGCGCCCCCTGCGGCCTGGGGGCGGGCTGCGCAGGGCCGCGCCGGGCCGGGACCCGGAGCCACCGCCGCCGCCGCCCCCCGCACGGGAAGCGGAAGTGGGCGCGGGGCTGCGGCGCTCCCAGCTCAGCCCCCAGTCGGCGTGGCGCTGCCGCTGACCCCGGTGAAGCCGGAGGGCAGGACCTGCGTCTCCGGGAACTGTCGGCTCTCCGGGCTCCCCGAGACCCTCTGTGAGGCCAGACCCTAGTTAGCCCGCAGGGCTGGGCTGGGAATGTCGGTGCTTGAGAGGACGTAGTTTTTAGTGTGACCTCGTTGGGCGGCCAAGGCCTTATTTATGAATTATATTTGAGTACAAAATTATACTCGGGATTCAAGGCCCTAATATAATATCCAATTGAGTATGAAAATACAGGCATTAGCCGGGTGCGATGACTCACGCCTGTAATCCCAGCACTTTGGGAGGCCGAGGCGGGCAGATCACTTAAGGTCAGGAGTTCCAGACCAGCCTGGCCAACATGGCATAACCCCATCTCCACTAAAACTACAAAAAGTAGCCAGGCGTGGTGGCGTACCTGTAATCCCAGCTACTCGGAAGGCTAAGGCAGGAGAATCGCTTGAACCCGGGAGGCTGAGGTCATGCCACTGCACTCCAGCCTGGGCGACATAGCAAAACTCAAAAAAAAAACAAAAGCCATTTCCCAATCCCCCTCTCCCAAGGAAATCCATCTGATGCCATTTCTGCATGCAAGCGCACTGATGAAAACTGTAGCAATGTCAGCTCTGATCTTGTCGTCCTTAAGGAACTATAGGTTATATCTGTGGTTCTCTGGCATTTCGTTAAACAAGTGGAAGTATTCAAAGAAGTTGTTGTTTGCCCAGAGTCGTTTTCTTTAATGCTCTAAGTCGAAGGGGCGGAAGGGTTTTGATCTACTTTAGATAGCCACTCAACATAACATTCAGCCACCACCTTCCCATTGCTTTGGTTCAGCCTTCGTGTATCGATTTTCATTTTCAACACTATTTCCTTCCTTAAACAGGGTGTGGGCCGGGCACGGTGGCTCACACCTGCAATCCCAGCACTGTGGGAGGCCAAGGTGGGCGGATCACCTGAGGTCAAGAGTTCAACACCAGCCTGGTCAACATGGTGAAACCCAATCTCTTCTAAAATTACAAAAATTAGCCCAACATGATGGCGAGTGCCTGTAATCCCAGCTACTCAGGAGGCTGAGGCAGGAGAATCGTTTGAACCCAGGAGGTGGAGGTTGCAGTGAGCTAAGATCACCCCACTACACTCCAACCTGGATGACAGAGCAAAACGAACAACAACAACAACAAAAAAAAACAGGGTGTGGTGACACGGGTCTCTTGTCTCAGCTACTTGGGAGGCCAAGGCAGGAGGATCAATTGAGGCCAGGAATTGGAGGCCTCGGTGAGCTACGATGGCACCATTGCACTTCAACCTAGGTGACAGAGAGACCTCATTTCTAAAACACACACACACAGACACACACACAGACACCTTCCACACAGTGTAATTTTCTTTTACAACTTTCAGCCTTGTTTGGATGTGCTGTTGGATTCTTTTTCTTTCTTTCTTTTATTTCTTTCTTTTTTTGAGACAGAGTTTCACTCTTGTCACCCGGGCTGGAGTGCAATGGCATGGCCTCGCCTTACTGCAACCTCCACCTCCTGGGTTCAAGCGATTCTCTTGCCTCAGCCTCCTGAGTAGCTGGAATTACAGGCATGCACCACTATGGCCAGCTAAGTTTCTATTTTTTAGTAGAGGCAGGGTTCCACCACATTGATCAGGCTGGTTTTGAACTACTGGCCTCAGGTAATCCACCCGCCTCGGCCTCCCAAATTGCAGGGATTACAGGCATGCGCCACCTCGCCCAGCTGTGCTGTTGGATTATTACCTATGTTATTTAAGTGATTTGATTGGTGCTTAACAAGAACGCACACCTGAAGAGACTCCCCGGCTGTAGTAGATGCTCTGATGGGATCCGAGTGCCTGGTAAATGGGCACTCATCAGAATCAGCACTTTAGAACTCGGGCTTCTGGGCCATAATCAAGTCACAGAAACAAGCCAGGGAGTTGGGATGACTTGTTCAAAGTGATGGGGAATGTGACTAATTGGAAGCAGATCCAGGAGCCGAAACTACAGTTACAGCAGCCTAAAGGGGTTGAAAATATCACCTGGTCCAGTGGCTTTTGCAGCTTATGAGAATGAGACCCAAAAGAACCCTGATTAAGGACAGACTTGGCTGAGTGCGGCGCTCACGCCTGTAACCCCCCAGGTTGGGAGGCTGAGGCAGGAGGATTGCTTCAGCCCAGGAGTTCCAGTCCAACCTGAGTAACATAATGTTGTAACTGCCCAATGGGTTCTTGTCGCCCGCTGCCTCAACTGAGCCATTTATCAAGATGGGGGAATTGCAGCAAAAGGGTTTAATTCACACAGAGCCAGCGGTACAGGAGACCAGAGTTTTATTATTACTCAAATCAATATCCCCAAGAATTTGGGGACTGGAGTTTTTAGGGATAATTTGGTGGATAAGGGGGCCTGTGAGTGAAGTGCTGATTGGTCAGGTTGGAGATGAAATCATAGGAGTCTAAACTGTCCTTTTGCACGGACTCGGTTCCCGGGTGGGGGCCCCAGAACCAGATGAGCCAGTTTATCACTCTGGGTAGTACCAGCTGATCAATCCATCAAGTACAGGGTCTACAGACTATCCGGAGCACTCATCCCAGGGTTCACAGTAGTGATGTCATCCTGAAGAGTAATTTGGGGAGGTTTAGAATCTTGCAGCCTCCAGCTGCATGACTCCTAAACCATAATTTGCAATCTTGTGGCTAATTTGTTAGCCCTACCAAGGCAGTCTAGTCTCCAGGCAGGGAGGGGGTTTGATGTGGGAAAGGACTGTTGTGGTCTGTTTCAGAACTAAACCGTAAACTGAGCCCCCAAAGTTAGTTCAGCCTCCACCCAGAACAAGGACAGTTTGGGGTTAGAAGCAAGATGGAGACAGTTCGCTCAGATCTCTTTCACCGTCATAATTTTCTCGGTTATAATTTTTAATTATGTTGGCCAGGTGCGGTGGCTCATGCCTGTGATCCCATCACTTTGGGAGGCTGAGGTGGGCAGATCACGAGATCAGGGGTTCGAGACCAGCCTGGCCAACACAGTGAAACCCCGTCTCTACTAAAAATACAAAAATTAGCTGCACGCCTGTGCACGCCTGTAATCCAGCTACTCAGGAGGCTGAGGCAGGAGAATCACTTGAACCTGGGAGGTGGAAGTTGCAGTGAGCCGAGATCTCGCCATTGCACTCCAGCCTGGGCAACAGAATGAGACCCTGTCTCAAATATATATATATATATATATATATATATATATATATATATATATATATTTTGCAAGAGCAGTTTCAGTGAGCCCGTGTCTCTACTAAAAAATTAAAAAATAATAATTTTAACCTGGTATGGTGGTGCGTGCCTGTAGTCCCAGCTACTGGGGAGGCTGTAGCAGGGGATCGCTTGAGCCTGGGAGGTTGAAGGAGCAGTGAGCCATGTTCACACCACTGCAGTCTAGCATGGGCGTCTGAGCAAGACCCTGTCTCAAAAAAAAAGGAAGCATCCTGTTACAGATTAGAAAGAGCACTGGACTTGGGGCCAGGATGTTTGTGGAAATGTCCCTGTGTGACTTTTAGTGAGTCACTTAGACTTTTGTAAACCCCAGCCACAGCATGACTGCATCACCAGTCCCTCTGAAGCCCCTGCGTTCCATCAGCCTGCTGGAACAATCCACCATGCAGGGCGCCTGATACTCTCCTCGAGCCATTGACCCCCAGCCTAGTGCTTTGTCTTATCTTCCTCAAGCCCCTTTCTCTCTTGTCCTCACAAGAAGGGCTGTTCCAAACTCTCATGACTCCCAAGCCTTCCACATTTCTCCTCTCCACACCTCCCC